CGGAAGCCAAAGTAGGAGTGCAAATGGCTTGCACATCTAATGAGAAAGTGAACCAGCCTCTGCCTGAGGGTGGGAAGGGGTACTGGGCTGAGGGGGTCAGCATGGCAGAACAGGGTGGGGGCCTGTCCAGCTTATCTTGTCCTCACCCTGTGGTCTCAGTCTCCCCGGTGACTGTCCTCCTCCCACACAGATGGATCTCATCTCCACCATTGGTGAGAGTGCAGCCCTGGGCGCGGCCGGGGTCATCCTCTGGGGCGACGCAGGCTACACCACCAGCACGGTGAGTAAGATGGAGTGGAGTCTGCAGGGGGGCAGGCAGAGAGTTGCAGCTTCGGGCTGCCAACCTCCAGGTGGGCAAACCAACCTAGTCTGGGCCCCTTGTCCGTCTCCCACCCAGGGCCTCCCTGGTCCCAACAGAGAAGAAAGGGTTCCTCCCCTATTCCCAGGAAAGGAGTCATACTGTCCTGAACAGCCTTAGAGTTGCACCCTCCCCCACCCCCAGCTGCCCTGCTGGGCTCGTCTCTGTCCCCTCCGCCCCTCTCAGTGGGAACAGGGGCGGCAAGGGCTCAAGCATGCGTGGATGTGTACACATGTGTGCGCTGTTACAAGAACACAAGAGTTTCCATCCGGGCCTGTGGGCTGAGGCCGCTGACCCTGATCCCTGGCCTTTGTCCTCAGGAGACCTGCCAGTACCTCAAGGATTACCTGACGCGGCTGCTGGTCCCCTACGTAGTCAACGTGTCCTGGGCTGCCCAGTATTGCAGCTGGGCCCAGTGCCATGGGCACGGGCGCTGTGTACGCCGCGACCCCAGCTCCAGTACCTTCCTGCACCTCAGTGCCAGCAGCTTCCACCTGGTGCCTAGCCACGTACCTGGGGAGGCCCAGCTGCGCCCAGAGGGGGAGCTCAGCTGGGCTGATCTCAACTACCTGCAGACGCACTTTCGCTGCCAGTGCTACTTAGGCTGGGGTGGCGAGCAATGCCAGTGGGACCATACACGGGCAGCTGGGGGTGCCCGTGGGGCCTGGGCTGGGTCCTTCCTCACCGGCTCGCTGGCTGTGGCAGCCCTGGCCCTCACCTGGACTTTATAGGGGTCTCTCTCCCAGCCGCCGGGCCAGCTGGCCTCTGCCACGAGGGCTCTGCCAGGCATGTAGGAGCCTGCACGGGGTGGACAAATTGGAGCTCCGAGGAGGCAGAGCCCCGGGGATGCCCAGCAGGGTGTCCATACCAGCTCTCACCCCCCTGTTCTAAGGGGGAGGGGCAGTTCCCTGAGAGGCCCCTTTTCTCCCTGCCAGAGAGGAAGAGGGGCACAGCCGGGCCAGAGAGGACCTGACCCTACTCTCCTGCCCCTGGATAGCTTATTATTATTATTTTGGGGTCTCTTTTGTAAATTAAATATAAAACACCTGCTTCTGTGCTTGGACTGTCTGCACCTAGGCCAGGACACGTGAGAGAGATTCCAGGGTGTCTCAGGAGGTTTGAGCGCAGCCCTGTCTCCGTGAGACTCTCTGCTGGGGACTTCATATCTGTCAGATGCGGTCCGTGGAAACTGGAGGCCAGAGCTGCCCATTCTGCAGCTGCCCTGCTGGGGCAGGGGCCACTGGGAATGGAGGGATTCACATTCCACCCCAACACCCAGGATTGTGGGTTTCTCCATATTGATTGGAAAGCAGTTGGCCCCAGCCTTCCGTGAGGGACCAGGCTCATTGTGTTTCTCCTCCTTGCCCCTGGATCCCCAGTTGGGCCAGTGCCACTCACCTTGCCTTGCCCACCCAGGGAGAAAGGGGAAGTGGATATTTGATCTTCCCTGGCTGGGCAGGTAGCCAGACCACCCCTCCCTGTTGTTCCCACAGGCAAGAGCGTCTCCTCCACTCCCTGCTCCAAGGGCAGTGGACTTCAGCCACACACACCTCTCCCCAGCTGGGTCACAGTCCTCCACTGGGGTTTGGGACCTGAATCTTGAGGTCTCGACCCTGTCCCACTGCAAAGACGCGCGATGGGGCGAGAGGGAGGCATCTTGAGTCTGGGAGCAGAGACCTCCTCAAAGGTCAGCCCCGTCCTGACCATGGGAGAATGTGGCTTGTCCCCAGCTGTCCCAGGAGAGAGAAGTAGCATCTGGAGTAGTCAGACTAGCTCCAGCTTGCTTCATTCTGAAGGGGCTCTGCCCCTCTCCTCAGCCATCAAACCCACACTTGGGGTCCCCTTGTCCATGTCAGTGATGACACAACACTGGCTGTGGGGAGACAGATTCAAGAAACAGCCAAGTGGTGAAGGGGGGCAGCCCAGCCACAAGGCCTCAAGGGAGGTATCCTTGAGGAAGTGCTTTCTACACTGAGTTTGAAAAAGGGAAGGGGAAGCTTGCTACTAGAGACAAAGTGCGGGCTAAGGCTGCAGGAAGTTGGAACACGGCTGGGACCTGCAGTCCGAGGCTGCGGTGTGGCCAGGGGCTACCACAGGTAGGGCAGGAAGGGCAGCCCTCGAGTGGCACCACGCCTGACTTTGCCTGATGGCAGTGACCGTCTCACCTGCTCAGTAAACAGCACTCACACACATGCCAGTGCTGGGCTGGGCTGCATCTGCGAGCTGCACCAGCAAAGGGCCCTGTCGTCCTGGGGATGCACACTATATGCAAAGGCCAAGTCAGAGGTGGTCAGTGGAGCAGAGCCTGGAGAAGCGAGCCCAACCACATCGATGTCAGCTCAGGTTGTAAAGTGATCCCTGTCCCTCTGGCTGGCGACAGCCGAGAACGGAGGGAAGGGGGCTAGGCCGTAGCACAGAAGGCAACGTCAGTCACGTGGAGGGGGAGGGTGCTGAGGTGGAAGGGCGCCCAGTGCTCATGGCCATGGTGGGGAGAAGCCTGCTGGACAGAAGATGAAGGTGTTGGTCTATAAGGTCACGAGATTCTGGAGCCAGCAAAAAGGGCAAGGAAGAAGCTGTGACTCGTGGCCTTTGTTGCTCTCACCCCTCGGACTTCCCCTACCCAGCTGTGACCCTCAAATACACCTGTGAGCTACCCCACCCACATCTGTAACAACCAACATCTGTGGCCTTTCCCACCCAGCCGGGACTCCTCCATACCCGTGCAAAGCTGTGGTTTCCCCCACATGTGTGACCCACACAACTCTTACCTCCCCCAGACATCTGTGACCCGTACCCATCCGGCTGGGACCCCTCCGGGCAAACCTGTGATCACCTCACATCACCTTCCAGGAGGACCTGGACGACAGCCTTGTGGAAACTGCAACTCAGGGACAGCCACAGCTGTGGGTGGGTGGGTGTAAAGGGGAGTGAGGTGGCTCAGACCTGGGATATGCACACCACCAGAGAGAGCAGGCAGTCCAGGCAGCTGGACTGACCCCAGACACACACAGCACTTGGGCCAACCCGGCCAGACCAGCGCAGCAGGGGTGGGTCTGTGGGGGGAGGGGGCGTAGGGCTGGGGAGCATCTTCCTGCCATTCCACCATTAGAGCTTCTCCCCTAGACTGAGGCCAGCTAGAGAATGCCAGCCTGAGGTTTGGCTGGGTTACGCCAATTGTGGCACTATGTTTCTGGGGGCACCTGAAGGTAGCATGAACCCTCAGGAAGAGGGAGTCGGGGCTGCCTTGGTGTTGTCCCCTCAGCCCTTGGTAGTTTTGCCAGGTTCTCTGAGCCTAATGGTCATCGCTTTGGGACCCTGCTTCCTGAACGAGATCAGCAGCCACCACCTCTGTGGCTAGATCCTGTGCTGGGGTCCTCCTCCTTCAGCACTATCAGCTTCTCCATCCTAGCCTGGAGGACCGAGTCCAGATGGTAGCCGGCTGTGTCACTGACTCATTGGCCACTGTGCCAGGGGGTCCCTGGCTCAGGCTCAGACTGGGCTGTGGACTCAAGTAGCACTTTCACCTGGATCAGGGATATGAGGTTTCCTTCACCCCACCCTGGCAGGCATGCCTGGGCCTGGGCACCTAGCAGGTCTCAATAATCAGCTTCTGAATCAGCAAACAAGTGAAATCACAAAGGAATGAACAAGTATGTGGTCACTGACACACCCATGGTCACCCAAACACGGGGTCTCATAGTCACAAGACTGCGAAGTCTCACACCCAGCTCAGGCACTGGATCCCACACTTGTACATACTACCGGACCTTGCACAGAGGCCTAGACTGTCGCTGACCAGCCCTGACTTCACAGACACAGTGCCTTTCAAACTCGTCCCTAAAGCAGAGATCTACCTCCTGGGCATAGTCGGTGTAGGGCCTGGGGCCGCAATACTTCTAGGGGACCAAAAACTGTCTTCACTTTTTTTTTTTTTAAGATTTTATTTATTTGACAGAGACACAGCGAGAGGGAACACAAGCAGGGGGAGTGGGAGAGGGAGAAGTAGGCTTCCCTCTGAGCAGGCAGCCCGATGCAGGGCTCGATCCCAGGACCCTGGGATCATGACCTGAGCCGAAGGCAGACGCTTAACGACTGAGCCACCCAGGTGCCCCTGTCTTCACTTTTTTAATCAGAGGAAAATATATATTAATAATGAATATATAATGACTTCAGTCTGGATTGTACTTGTCTTTGTACCAGCACAGTTGTAAAATGCATTTTTTAATGTTTTGAGGAAGGGGCCCACAAAGGCAAAAGTGCCTAAGACCCAGAGATATCATAATGCAGCCCTGCAGGGAAAGTAGGCTCCCTCAGGATACCTTACTGAGGCACCCAGTCTCCAATACCACACACAGGCCTGCCCAGAGGGGTCTGCCACCCAAACAGCCCCCCTGCACTGCTTCCACCCCCACCCCAACCCAAAAAAAGCCACAAAGCCCTGCCCCGATGTTGACTGTGTGGGCAGGGCTGCTTCCAACCCAGCCCCACCTTCTAGCAAGGCACTTTGTTAGGGGTGCCGAGGTGGCTCTGCTGCCTGGCCCAGCCCTCCAACCCAGGGCCTGCCCCTCAGCCCGCCCCCAGACTGGGTGGGGTGACCCCCCTACAAAAGCTCAGAGTTTCCAGCAGCTTCCTCTGAGTCTGGTGCAGCTGGGGCCAGAGTTGAGGAACAGAATCTTGCTGAGCCCTGCCTAGGCCCTCACACTGGGGTCAGGAAATTTGGAGGATGAGGCCCTTCAGCCCTGAGGTCAGCAGGGACAAGTGGGCAGACTGGTGGGTATACAGGAGGGTTGGGCTGACCTGTCCAGCTGAGCATCTCTTTCTCCAATGGCTGGCCAGGATTCCTGGGGGAAGACAGGAAAGGATCCTCCCCATCAGTCAGGTCAGCCTGGAGGCTGAGGGCCTGGCTCTCAGCAGCTCTTCTCAAAACAGAGTCATGGCTTCTGTGGCCCCTGGGGAAGGGGACTGGTTAGCTTAGCCGAGGCAAAGCCTGTGGGAGACAGGAGGGCAAAGGCCCCGCCCTAGAGGCAACTCAGATGTGCCCTCCAGTGGCAGTTTTCCCCCTCCACGCCTTTCCTTTGCCCTCTGACCTCCCTGAGCCCTGAGCCAAGGTCAATGTTTACCTAAGGCCGAGCAGGGGTGGATTAATGAGCAAGGGGCTCAGCCCGCCTTCTCTGAGCGGGGGTCAGAGAGTTCAGAACCTGCTCTCAGCTTTGCCTCCCTTGGTCAGGTTTCCCTGGACCCATCCTCTGCCATGGCAGTCCACCTGCTTCCCACCTACACCCTCTTCCTGACGTTGCTTGGCACAGCCCAAGGCTCCAGGAGCCCCATGGTACCCAAGCAGCCCTTCACCACCATCTGGAACGCAAACACCCAGTGGTGCCTGGAGAAATACGGCGTAGATGTGGATGTCAGTGTCTTCGATGTGGTGGCCAACCCTGGGCAGACCTTCCGCGGCCCTGATATGACCATTTTCTACAGCTACCAGCTGGGCACCTACCCCTACTACACGTCTGCTGGGGAGCCTGTGTTTGGTGGCCTGCCCCAGAATGCCAGCCTGGATACCCACCTGGCCCGCTCCTTCCAGGACATCCTGGTTGCCATCCCTGAGTCCGACTTCTCAGGGCTGGCAGTCATCGACTGGGAGGCATGGCGCCCACGCTGGGCCTTCAACTGGGGCACCAAGGACATTTACCGGCAGCACTCCCGGGCACTGGTACGGGGGCAGCATCCCGACTGGCCAGCTCCTCGGGTGGAGGCAACAGCACGGGACCAGTTCCAGGAGGCTGCAAAGGCCTGGATGGCAGGCACCCTCAAGCTGGGGGAAGCTATGAGGCCTCGTGGCCTCTGGGGCTTCTATGGCTTCCCTGACTGCTACAACTATGACTTTCTAAGCCCCAACTATACTGGCCAGTGCCCGCCGGGTATCGGTGCCCAGAATGACCAGCTGGGGTGGCTGTGGGGCCAGAGCCGCGCCCTCTACCCCAGCATCTACATGCCCGCAGAGCTGGAGGGCACGGGGAAGGGACAGATGTATGTGCGGCACCGTGTAGGTGAGGCATTCCGTATGGCTATGAGTGTTGGGGACCCCAGTCTGCCGGTGCTGCCCTATGCTCAGATCTTCTATGACAAGACGAACCGCTTTCTGCCCCTGGTGAGTCTCCTATAACCCCACCCACCTTGTAGCCTACCTTGTCAGGCTTTAGGTCCAGTTAAGTGAGGCCACACAGCCTTGGGGCACTTTCATCCATTATGCTCCATTCCTTGAGCTCCTACTGTGCGCCAAGCTCTGTGCTCAGTAGAGACGTTTCAGCATTCATCACAAAGATGGAGTGCCTGCTGCAGGCTACGGTGAGGACAGGCTTGCCTCTCACCACCGGGGCCAGAGCAGCCCCAGGTGGGGACTATGAGTTATTTGTCCCATCCAGTGGTGTTACAGCAATGTGCTGTGCGGGGGAGGGAGGGAGGGAGGAAGGCCCCTCAGAGCTATGCTGTCCCTTTCCCTAGGATGAGCTGGAGCACAGTCTGGGGGAAAGTGCAGCCCAAGGAGCAGCAGGCGTGGTACTCTGGGTGAGCTGGGAGAACACAAAAACCAAGGTGAGCTCAGGCCCAGGATGGGGGTTAGGGTGGGGGCAGGAGTTGGGCTGGCAGGCTGATTGGGAAGACCCTGGCCCGCCCTTTCCATCCCTGCTCTCCTGGTGGGCCAGCAGGTAAGTGTGCCAATGCCCTAGGTAGGCCCATGCATGATCGTGGTGTCCCTGATGCTCCTCCTCCCACTCAGGAATCATGCCAGGCCATCAAGGAGTATGTGGACACCACACTGGGACCCTTCATCCTCAACATGACCAGTGGGGCTCTTCTGTGCAGTCAAGCCCTGTGCTCAGGCCATGGTCGCTGTGCCAGGCGCCCCAGCCACCCTGAGGCCCTCCTCATCCTCAACCCTGCCAGTTTCTCCATCCAGCTCACTCGTGGTGGCAGGCCCCTGACCCTACAAGGTGCCCTCTCACTTGAGGATCAGATGCAGATGGCTGTGGACTTCCAATGTCGCTGCTACCGTGGCTGGAAGGGAGCACGGTGTGAGCAACAGGGCATGTGATGATTGGTCACACACCAGGATACACATTGAGCACCCTGTTTACCTTAAAAATAAATTGGTTATTTTACCAGCAAAAATGGGTTTTTTTGGGGAACAGCAGAGAAGTGCAATTTGAGATATGTGAGCTGTTGCAAAACCATAGGCAAGTCTGGAGAACAAAGAGGAGGAATGCTGTTTTACAGACGAAAGGGGGGAGTTGGAAGGGACTGTTATAAACAGAAAATCCATTGGAGTAAACTGGGAGTTTGAAGGGTGGTGATTTTTCGTTGAGCTATGAGGTTCTCTCATTGGCTGGGCTGCTGTCAAGCAATGAGAAAATCTTTCCTCCTATTGGAGGAGTAAAGTAGGCTCCTTCCTGTTGGGTCTGCAAAGGTCTGCAAGAAGTGATATGTCTGAGTTACCCCTTCTAGCCTCTCCACTCCACTCCATTTTATTTTATTTTTATTTAATTAATTAATTTATTTGACAGAAGGAGAGAGAGAGCAAGCACACAAGCAGGGGGAGCAGCAAAGGGAGAGGGAGAAGCAGGCTTCCCGATGAGCAAGGAGCCCGACACGGGACTTGATCCCAGGACTCTCGGATCATAACCTGAGTGGAAGGCAGACGCTTAACCGACTGAGTCACCCAAACGTCTCGCTCGACTCCATTTTAAATGAGGTTTTCTTTTCTCTTCTTTTTTTTTAAATGAGGTTTTCTTTATTTGGTTTCACAACCTAATGCACTCTGAGCCTGGCCACAGCTTTCTCAAGTACAAGCAGTCACACAAGTCAGGGTCACAGTCAGGATTACTCTCAGCCACCATGAAGAGCACATGTCTGAGGGGCGCCTGGGTGGCTCAGTCGTTAAGCGTCTGCCTTGGGCTCAGGTCACGATCCCAGGGTCCTGGGATCAAGCCCCACATCAGGATCCCTGCTCCGCAGGAAGCCTGCTTCTCCCTCTCCCACTCCCTGTTTGTGTTCCCTCTCTTGCTGTGTCTCTCTGTCAAAAAAATAAATAAAATCTTAAAAAAAAAAAAAAAGCATATGTCTGCACCTGCACACATGCTTACAGGCCAGGGTAGTTGAAGGGGTTAGAGCCTCCAGCACCCACCCAGCAGGGTCATAAACATCTCCAGAGACACTGAGCCCAGTCTTTAAGTTGCAGCTATCACAAGAACTGACATTCACTGAGCACCTACTCCTCCCCAAGTCCTGTGCTAAGCATTTTAAGTAGACTAACTCATTCAATCCTAACATGACGTTATGAGGAAACAGGCACACACTGAGAGGGCAACCACTTTGCCCAATGTCGCACAGCCAGAAAATAGAGAAGCTTAGGTCGAACCCAGGCTGTCTAGCCATAGAGGTAAAGCCCTTTGGCTCCTACTATGTGTTGACAGTAACCAGCCCTGCACGCAACCTGAATCTGCTCAGAGGTACCAGCCTCGCAAATAAAGTAGGTATGATTCTCGCTTCAAGAGCTACTGAGTGCCCAAAACGTACAGGCACTGGGACGCAAGAGGGCACAGCAAAGGCTCGTCTCTCTCACTCAGTCCTGATGTCTGTCCGAGGGCGGCTGCTTCCAAGGATGGGGCCCAAAGTTCAGGAGGAAGCTCCACCTGACCTTTTCCACACAGGAAATTTTACCCGGGAGGCCAACGGGAACCGAGACCTGCCTGAGCCTAGGTGGGGCGAGACGAGGCGAGGTGGAAGTAGAGCCAGGTGGAGGAGGGGCCTGCATCCAGCCAAGTCTTTGGCGTGATGGGCCGCGGCAGGGCTTCTGCCGAGCGGAATCCCGAAAGACCTAAGCGGTGTCCCGGAGCCAGACTGGGCCTGCACTGGGCGGGGCACATCGAGGAGGAGGTGGAGCCTGAGCTCGGTCACAGCGGTGAAGCGCCGGGGCAGGGAGCAGTGGCTCGGCGACAGCGGGCGGGGCAGAGGCGGAGCCAGGGCAGAGACCGGGTCTGCGTCGGCTCGGTGTTATGACGCGCTGAGCCGGGGGCGGGGCCTAAGCGGTGACGCGCGGAGGCGGGGTGGGGGTTGGTGGCCTAGGGAAAGTCTGGACCAGGTGGGGCGCTGCGGGCCGCGACGCTGCATTGCGTCCGCCGCACCGCTAGGGGCCAGCGCGGGCGGTCGGAAGAGATCAAACCACAGAGCGAGAAACCGGCCAGCGCGGAGCGAGGACGCGGAGCATCCCGGATCTTGGCTTCAACATGTCAGTACTTCCCTCTTCCCACGCGCTGCGTGTTGGTCCTCACTGTCTCCCGTCGTCCGCCCCACGCGTGCGGTCCTCAAGTGGCTGTGCCGCCCCACACGCCTTCCCTGCGTCTGTCGTTCCCTCCCAGAGCATGCCGAGCCACACCCACCCAGAGTCAAGCTCCCGAAGCACCCCCACCCACCCCCCCAAAAAAACTCCATTGTTTGTCACCCACTAGGAGGGAGGGGGAAACTGAGGCACTGGAGAGCCTTGCCGCCTCTCCCTGAGGACACAGGAGCCCCGCCCACAGTGGGTGGGGTCGGCACTGAAAGGGTTAAGCCCGCGGGGAAGTCTGGGGCTCCAAGCCTGGGGGTGGATCCTGGGGCTTCCTCCCTCTAGGTCCAGGGCGGCGGCTGCTGAGGAGGTAGCTGATGCAGGTGAGGGGCTTATAGCCCTCTGAGTGGGATATAGTGTGTGGGGCGGGGGGCTCCTACCTTTGGACGACCAGTGTGGAATTGGCCTCAAGCTCAGGGGACCTTCTTGGGGAGGTGGGGAAGGGGAGCCAGGACGTCCTCTCTGGAGCAGGTGAGTAGAAGTGTGCAGCCCAGCGGATCCCCCACCACCAGAAATCCCCCAGCGTAGACCTTCTGGCAGCAGGGCCTGGGGTAGGATGGGCAAACAATGGGATTTAGGCGCAGGAGGTCTGAGCCCCCATCCGGGTGGCAGTTGGACACCCTTGTGGATTTAGGAAGGAAGCTGTGGTCCTTATCTAGGGTGACTACGAAACTCAGGCCAGTGGGGAACCAAGCCTGCAAGAGCCACATTGCTGTGGGACTGTGAGCCAGGCCCCTTGCCAGTGCTGTTGGGGCCCCATCTGAAGGGACATTTGGGTCTGTGCCCAAGCAAAGTGTCCTGAGCTGCACAGTGTTGGGGAGGGGGCCATGGGCTCTGTGCTGCAGGCAGGGAAGGGAAATCCCATCCTAAACGGGTGGGTGAGTGGTACCTCAGGATTGGTCAGGTGGCAGGCATGGCCCAAGCGGCCAAAAAGGCTGGGACCAAGAATGTAGGGGAAAGGAAGGAACAGGGGAGCTCCCAGGGGCAGCTGTGTTTCCTCCAAAGGGAATCTTGAGTGGATTTAAGTAAGGGATCATGGTGTCTAGTTTGCATGTTCTATCTGATGGCCAGCCAGCCATGATGGTAAGGCTAAATCCACCGTCCTGGGGAGAACAAAGTTGTAGCCACAGCAGGCTGGGGCCAGGACTCTTGGGTTCTGCCCCAGCCTTTAGGCTTCAGCCTCCCTCCAGTGTGGAGCAGGACACGATGGACCTATTTCCTCTGCTGTCCACCTGAGTCAGGTATAGGGGATGGTCTCCAGGTCACCTGTGCCATCAGGTGAGTATGGGGACAAGGTGTAGTTTACCATTTCCGGGATGCATGGCTCCCCTAGCACTCTGTCGGCCCCTCCCTGCCCCAACCCTGTCCTCCCTCTTGGTACAGCCTAGCATGGCTGTTGTCCATCGGAGGAGCACCCTTGTGGTCTGAGGAGATACCACTGTCTGGAGACTGTGCTCTTAATCCCTAGCCTGCCACTGAGCCACCTGCAACCTAGCAGGAGATGACCTTGGCTCCCAACCTGACTCAGCTGAGCCTAGATCCTACATGTAGGTGAGAGCTCACTCTGAGCCCTGGCCCACCAAAGCTGACCCCAACCCTAGACCCTGCACACCAGATAGAGCTGATCTTGAGTACCAGCCCAGTCGAGCTGACTCTGGATCCTGCATGCCAGCCAGAGTTGACCCTGAGATCCAACCTGGCCACGCTGACCCTGGATCCTGCACACCAGCCAGAGCTGACCCTGAGCCCCAGGCTAGCTGAGCTGACCCCGGGTTCTGCATGCCATCCAGAGATGACCCTCAGTCCTGGCTCCACTGAGCTGACCCTGGATCTCGCACACCAGCCAGAGGACACCCCAGCCCCCAACCTGGCTGAACTGACCCTGGAGCCTGTGCACTGCCGACCTGAGCTCTTGGATGCCTGTGCCGACCTCATCAATGAGCAGTGGCCCCGAAGCCGTGCTTCCCGCCTGCACTCCTTGGGCCAGTCCTCAGATGCCTTCCCCCTCTGCCTGATGCTGCTGAGCCCCCGCCCCACACCCGACGCAGCCCCCATTGTGGTGGGTCATGCCCGCTTGTCACGGGTGCTAGACCGGCCCCAGAGCCTCCTGGTGGAGACAGTGGTGGTGGCCCGGGCTCTGAGGGGCCGTGGCTTTGGCCGCCGTCTTATGGAGGGCCTGGAGGTTTTTGCTCAGGCCCGGGGCTTCCGCCGGCTCCACCTCACCACCCATGACCAGCTGCAGTTCTATGCCCACCTGGGCTACCAGCTGGGTGAGCCTGTGCAGGGCCTGGTCTTCACCAGCCGACAGCTGCCTGCCACCCTGCTCAGGGCCTTCCCCAGAGCCCCCTCTCTCCGGCCATCCTGCAAGGCTCCTAGTCTAACTGCCCAAACTGCCCCAAGAGCCCCCAAGGGGCCATCATTGCCACCACCCCCTCCCCTGCCTGAGCCCTTGACCACCTCACCCCCACCTCCTGCAGGGCCCCCTCCACAAAGCCTGCTGGAGATGCAGTACCAAGACCTGAGAGGATGCCCCATATTCTGGATGGAAAAGGACATCTGAGGGCTACCCAGGGCAAGGCACTGTCCTTCAGGGTCGATGGACTGCTTGGGACAGTACCAGCCTCAGCCCAGCCCATTGGCCATACCTCCAGTCCCTAGAGCCTGGGGGCAGCTTTAGCCTGGCCATGTTTCCTGAGTACCAGTGGGGCTGGGGGACTGCTCCAGAGATGTGGCTCAAGAGCTGTCAGTGTGGCTGAATAAAGGCTTCTGTCGGGTGTGGCTGTGACAGTTTATTTGTTGACCCACCCTCACCTCCCAGCCTTATCTTAGATCCTCTATATCTGTAAGATCCTCTGTCTCCACATTGGCCCTGGGGCCATGGGTGAAGGGACAGCTAACCTTCGCCCCTCCCACTCTGCCAGGCCCAGGTGACAAGGTGTCTGTACCCTTCCACCTTCACTCATCACCATTCACTGAGCACCTTCTGTGTGTCAGGCCCTAAACCAGGCAATGGGGTACTAGACAGATAGGGCCTCGATCCAAGGAACAGAAGGAGACGGCATACAGTGGCAGGATCTATGTTGGGACAGTGGGAGCCCGAGTGCCCTCAGTCCGTTTGGAAATCCAGGGGAGGTGATGTCACAGCAGAGACCTGAGTGCTAAGTAGCCAGGCAAGGGGGGAGGGTGTTAAGTGTTCCTGGGGCAGGGAACAAGATGGACAGAGGACAGAAGGGGACTGGTGAGAACTGTGAGTGGGCGAGGTGTCAGAGGGCACAGTGGTGTCATGACAAAGATGGAGAACGTGGGATGGGCGCTGCCTAGGCTGACGCATGGTGTGGCTGGTCTGAGAGGGCTAGAGGACCACAGGGGGGCCGTGTTTTCCCCAGCCCCCATCTTCATGGGGAGTAGTTGGGGGAGTGTTCCCAGCTTTCCCTGCTGTATGGAAGGTATGGCCATGGCCATGGACACTAAGCTCACAGCCCCTCTCTCCTGCAGGTTTCCATCCCGGGGGCATGATCATGCAGCTGGGCCTGGCCTTGGTGCTCGGAGTGGCCCTGTGCCTGGGGTTTGGCCAGCCCCTGCTGTGGGCTCCTGAACGCCCCTTCTCTGTGCTGTGGAACATACCCTCAGCACACTGTAAGACTCGCTTTGGCGTGCACCTGCCACTAGAGGCCCTGGGCATCACAGCCAACCGTGGCCAGCGTTTCCATGGCCAGAACATCACCATCTTCTACAAGAACCAGCTCGGCCTCTATCCCTACCTTGGGCCCAGGGGCACAGCTCACAATGGGGGCATCCCCCAGGTTGTCCCTCTTGACCGCCACCTGGCACGGGCTACCTACCAGATCCACCACAGCCTAGGACGTGGCTTTGCTGGCCTGGCAGTGCTAGACTGGGAGGAATGGAGCCCACTCTGGGCTGGGAACTGGGGCCGCCGCCGAGCCTATCAGGCAGCCTCATGGGCTTGGGCACAGCGGATATTCCCCGACCTGAGCCCACAGGAGCAGCTCCACAAGGCCCGTGCTGGCTTTGAACAGGCAGCCCGGGCCCTGATGGAGGACACATTGCGACTGGGCCAGGCACTGCAACCCCATGGGCTCTGGGGCTTCTACCGCTTCCCAGCCTGTAGCAATGGCTGGCATGGTATGGCTTCCAATTACACGGGCCACTGCCACCCAGCCGCTCTCGCCCGTAACACCCAACTTCATTGGCTCTGGGCTGCCTCCAGCGCCCTCTTTCCTAGCATCTACCTCCCACCCAGGCTGCCGCCTATCTACCACCAGGCATTTGTCCGATACCGCCTGGAGGAGGCCTTCCGTGTGGCCTCCGTTGGGCATCCACAGCCCTTGCCTGTCCTGGCCTATGCCCGCCTCACACACCGGAGCTCTGGGAGGTTCCTGTCTCAGGTGAGTGAAGGTTGAGATCCAGGGATCTGAGTGGGGGGCATGGCCCTGTCTGAGGAAGGTCTGAAGAGAAGATGTTGCCCTGGGGGGATTTGACGGGGAGGCCCTGATCTAGTTTTTAGTGGGGAGGTCCTATCCTGGAGCATCTGAAAAGGAAGTAAGGCTCTGTGTTGGAATACCTTGAGAGGGAAGGCAAGGCCCAGCCTTTGGAGCCCTGGTCTGAGGGGAGACAGCCCCTGAGTGGAGGACCTGAGAAGCCACTCAGAGGATCAGTGCCAAGGAATCTTATTCTAGTCGTGGAATCCGATCATGGCGATGAGCCAGAAAAGTTTCTTGAAGGTGGAAGTAGGCCCAGTTGGATCTGGCCAGCTCAGGCCTGGCTTAGCAGCTCTTTGCCTCCAGGATGACCTTGTGCAGACCATTGGTGTGAGCGCAGCACTCGGGGCGGCCGGCGTGGTGCTCTGGGGGGACCTAAGCTTCTCCAGCTCTGAGGTGATCATTGCCCCTCCAACCTGCCATGCAGCCCATGCTGGAGTCCCAGGGTTGGGAGAAAGACCATGTCAGAGCCATGGAGCAAGAGCATTGATACACCCTTCCCCTCTCCTCAGGAGGAGTGCTGGCATCTCCATGACTACCTAGTGGGCACCCTGGGCCCCTATGTAATCAACGTGACCAGGGCAGCCATAGCCTGCAGTCACCAGCGGTGCCATGACCATGGGCGTTGTGCCTGGCAAGATGGAGGACAGCTGGAAGCCTTTCTGCACCTGCAGCCAGATGGCAGCCCTGGAGCCTGGGAGTCCTTTAGCTGCCGTTGTTACCCGGGCTGGGCTGGCCCTACCTGCCAGGAGCCCAGGCCTGAGCCCAGGCCTGAAGAAGCAGCATAAAGCCAGAAGTTACCTGTCCCTGAGTCTCTTGTCCCTGCTGCCATTTTTCCAGTCCTGGAGGGAGAACTCTGTCCCACTCTTGTTCTATTCAGTTTATAGTCAGTCCTCCCATATACACCCCCCGCTTCCCCTGGGGCCCGTGGGAAGTGGAAGGGGCCAGAAAAAAAGGTTTACACCTTTTTATTTTATTATTATTTTGCTTACACCATTTTAAAAACCAAAGGTCCTCTGAGATCACTTGATCCCTTCTGATAAGGAAGCAGCCCTGGGGAGAGTCACCGTTCCAGATGGTTAGTGTTGCCAGCCCAGAGCTCTGTTCCAGCTCCTCACTGGGTGCATGGAGAGGTCACAGGAGACCCGTCCAGGCACAGGTGGGCTCCAAGATCTTGGCTAAGGTCTGGAAGTGCTAAGCTGTTGTCTGTCCTCTGCTTCATCATAAAGTCACTTTTTCTTTCACTGCCTAAGGTTTGACTGTTTACCCAGCTCCACCAAGCCCCACGCTCTTCCTGTCGCGAATGTCCAGCCTCAGCGCCAAGAAATGCCGGTCCTGCCTGCTGCAGTGGTAGGCTGCTCCAAGGCGGCAGCTTCAGAGTTAACTACTGTGCAGGGATGCACATGTAACGGGGGGCGGGGGGAGGGGGCGCGTGTGCGCAGGGCATTGTGGTTACGTAGTTCAGCTAGAGCGTCGTGGGCTTCTGGGTCTCTGGAGTAGACTACAATTCCCGAGGTGCTCTGCGCTCAGGCGGCCTGCGGTCATCTGCGCGTACAGCCCCCTGGGACTAGTAGTTTCGGCCTCGTGGATGTGGGCCTGAACCCAATGGCCAAGAACTCGCCTTCCCGGCCACCCATTTAGCAGGGCGGGGTGCCCCGACCCGTTTGGCAGGGCGGGGCGCCTCGCGAAGATGGTGTCGCGTGTGGCGTGTGGCTCCCGTCGTCTGCCCAAGTCCCAGCTTAGCCCACCGACCGGCGTCTTGCTGGTCTGGAATCCTTGTCCGCCGGGTCCCTGACCCCGCGCCCTCCGCGCGCCCGCGCTCCTGATTCCCGGCATGCCCCGCGCCCGTAAGGGCAGCGCGCCCCGCAAGGGCGGCCAGCGCCGCGGAGCGGGTAAGTGGGGAGCCGCTAATGAACGGCGAGCGGGGGTCCTGCGTGGCTTTCCTCTCGGTGTCCTGGAGGGTCCTGGGAGGAGACTCCTGCCTCGACCAACCTGGCGCTGCGTCCCGCAGCTCCCCCGCGGCCCGCACGTGCCCCAGGAGGCAGCGGCCACGTGGGTGTCCAACTTGAGCGCACTCCTTGCGGCTCAGGAGCTCACGGCCCTAAACCGGTGGTCGTCTCCCCGCCTCAGTTTCCCCCATTGACGCTCCACCCTAGTTGCCTCCGCTGGACAGAGCAGGAAGCCTGCCCCCTCGCCACTCCCTGGTGCTTTCCTGAACTGGACTAGGAAATGGGTGGGAGGCCTAGCCTGCCGGGGAGTACTAAGGGGGGCGGCGATGGGGAAGTTGCAGTATTCTGGCTTTGGTGGGCCTGGCACGAGAGGGTTGGGGAGTGCCCTGGAGCCTGAGGCAGGAGACTTATCAGCTTCGAACAGGAGTGTGTCTTGGTGCGGTAAACACGTATGCTTACTCTGTAGGAATGGGGTGCCTGTTAGGCACAGCTCAGACCTGGCCACAACCCTAATAGGACTTGGGTGTGGGGATATCTAAGAGGGTAGTGACATTCCAGAAGGACTGATGCTGGGGGACAAGTTCATTAAATGGTGCCAGCCCCAGATTTAGGAACCAAGGAATCCTGGAGGGGCTTCTGGGTGAATCCTGGGAAGGTGAAGATAAGAGCACTATGCAGAGGGAAAAAGTTCTGCAAAGGCCTGGCATTTGGAGGGAGCAAATGAGGGAGGCTGGGTTGCTTTGACTGGTTAGGGTAGTAAGAGAGGAGGTGAGCAGAGGCCTGCATGCATGCTGGACTTTGTCCAGCAGGCACATGGAGTATTTAGTTCCTGAAAAGTAGGATCAGCCTGGTGACCAGAACCCATCTGGGGCTCTGTTGCAGCAGCTGCCCTTACCAAAGTCAGCCCCTAGCCCTGGGCAGAACCCACACAGGAGTGTACGTTCTCCTGTGTTTACCTATTTTCTGGGACTCATGCGGTCAGGGGCCACTCCACTTTCTGCATTTCCCAGGGTTAGGAGGGTGCTGTGTGTGTCCATTCACCAAGGGTTAAAAGCCTGGGATGGTCAAGGGGGAGCTCAGAAGAGAGTATGCTTGAAGCCTGGGGCAGTCACCCACATCCCCAGGGCAGATAGGTGATGTTGGCCCACAGAAGAGCCGTAACTAGTTGTTTGTTTAGTTATTGTCTTCACTTGCAAAACCAAGAGTCCTTTAGCATCTCTGTTTTGCAGATGAAGAAATTGAGAGGGTAAAGGCTAGACATTTGACTTGGTTACACCCCTTTTAAGATAGGGAACTGGAATTCGAACCCTGTGTCTGTCTGTATATATTCTATATATACAAATCCTACAATTAAGCCCCTGCTCTTTGCCCTGGCCATTTTTAGGCATAATCTGGGCTAGTGGCTGAGCTCCCCCAGGATTTGCCTAGAAATGCCCCACTCGAGGCTCAGCTACAGGTCTAGGTGGGGCCTATGCAGCCCCTTCTGCCTCTGCCAGGCTCTCATTCTCCTTCTTAAAGCAGGCTGTAGTCTCAGGGAGGCTCTACTCACCAAACCTGCCAGGTTTTCCTAGGCTGGGCCTCGTGCCTGATACTCTCCAGCTGATGGACCTCATTCCCTTTCTCCTCCTTCCTGGCTTAGTGTCCTGTGCATCAGCCCCAGTGCCTCCCACCTCAGTCTCTGTTTTCTCATCTGTGAGAGGGGCAGGATTCTATTCTTGTGGGGTCATGAGGTTGGGTAGGGTACCCCCCCCCCAGCCATCACTCATCAATGGAGGCAGGCCAAGTGCTACCACAAGTGTGTTCGACCCTCCCCAGGTGCCCGGAGCAGTACCCAAGCTGACTCAGGTTCGAGTGAGGATGAAGCCGTCAGTGAGGCCCACAGTACCACCAGTGAATGCCCCAGCCTTCTCAGCACCGCAGCAGAGGACAGCCTTGGTGAGAGCGGGCGGGAGTTTGGCAGGGACTCCGTGGGGATTCCCTGGGGTAGGGCAAGACGCAGGGCTGACCAGCTGGCCTTGCAGGGGGGGATGCCGTGGATGAGCAGGGCCAGCAGGAAGACCTTGAGGAGAAGTTGAAGGAGTATGTGGACTGCCTCACAGATAAGAGGTACCCCTGACTGCCAGCCAACCCCCACACCCGTGTCCCTGCTCAGCCCATGCCAAGTGTGACCCAGTAGGGCTGGCCCACAAGGTCCCCTCTCTTCATCCCCCAGTGCCAAGACCCGGCAGGGTGCTCTTGAGAGCCTTCGCCTGGCCCTGGCATCCCGCCTACTCCCCGACTTCTTGCTGGAGCGCCGCCTCACCCTGGCCGATGCCTTGGAAAAGTGCCTCAAGAAAGGTTGGGCCCTGGGGGCTCATGGGAGACCTGAACTGGCTGGGTACTGACCCTTGCTGCATGGGCTGACTGGAAAGCCTTCCTGCAGGGAAGGGCGAGGAACAGGCGCTGGCCGCTGCCGTGCTAGGCCTGCTGTGTGTGCAGCTGGGCCCTGGACCCAAGGGCGAGGAGCTCTTTCGCAGCCTGCAGCCCCTCCTGGTGTCTGTGCTCAGTGATGGCACAGCTAGCCCTGCTGCCCGGCTCCACGTGAGTGTTTCAGGCTCTGTGACACCCTTCCCTCCCGTAGTCCCTGAGCAGAAAGGAGATGGGTTCCACCTGCCTTCAGGCTCCCCTACTCTGAGGGTGAGCCCTGTGCCCGGGAGCCCAGGCTCACTCTCTGACCGTGGCGTGGCTTTGCCCCCCTTCCCACAGTGCGCTTCTGCTCTTGGCTTGGGGTGCTACGTGGCTGCTGCTGATGTCCAGGTAAGTGGCCTCTGGGCACAGGTAATAGAGCACCTAGACCCTAGCTCTGCCCCTGAGCCATTCCCACTGGCTCCCTGTGTCCCTAGGACCTGGTGTCTTGCCTCAACTGCTTGGAAAGCGTTTTCAGCCGGTCCTGTGGTGTGGGTGGCTCCACAGCCCCCGTGGTCCCTGCCAGCCTGCATGGCCTGCTCTGCGCTGCCCTGCAGGCCTGGGCATTGCTCCTCACCGTCTGCCCCAGCACCCACGTCAGCCACATCCTGGATAGGTAAGAGTGACTGCTTGCTGCGAGTGGGAGGGGAAAGGCGACGAGGCCCCCCAGCCTGCACATAGCTCAGCCTGCCCCTTCCCCAGGCAGCTGGCCCGGCTGCCCCAGCTCTTGTCCAGCGAAAGCGTGAACCTGCGAATCGCTGCCGGCGAGACCATCGCACTGCTCTTTGAGCTTGCCCGGGACCTTGAGGTGTGAGGGGGGGGGAAGGGAAGGGAGGGGGCCTCCTGACACCACATGGCCAACCGAGGCTGGAGGCAGGGGACGCCGCAGGAGACAGGGCAGCCTCAGGTCATGACCGAGGGGAGGTAGCCCTGACACAGATTCAGACACCGGGTGCCGCGGTAGGGGCTCTGAGCAGGGGTGTCTGGCCCACCTAGGGGCCAAGAAGGGATTCAAGGGGACCAGGCAGAGGAGAAAGCCACTTCTTCCGTGAGAGGAAGGGTTTGGGCAGCCCCGTGTGAGAGCGTGCAGAGCCTAGGCTCCTGCTCACACACCCTCTGTTGCTCGCACTGCAGGACTTCCTGTACGAGGACATGGAGGCCCTGTGCAGCGCCCTGCGGACCCTGGCCACCGACAGCAACAAGTACCGTGCCAAGGCTGACCGCCGGCGTCAGCGCTCTACCTTCCGCGCCGTGCTGCACTTCGTGGAGGTACGTGTGAGAACGTGTGTCCTGGGGAGAGTGCTCCCTGGACACCGCCGCCAAGCCCTAGTCTGTGGGTCCCTCTATGCTGCAGGGCGGTGAGTGTGAGGAAGAGTCCGTCCGCTTTGGCCTCGAGGTGCTCTATGTGGACAGCTGGGCCCGGCGCCGTGTCTATACCGCCTTCAAGGATGTGCTGGGATCGGGCATGCACCACCACCTCCAGGTGGGAAGACGGACGGGCAGGGGGTACCCAGCTTGGTTCTTTTGGACCAGCCTGAGCTCACTGCCCATTTTGTCCCCCAGAACAACGAGCTACTCCGTGACATCTTTGGCCTGGGCCCCGTGCTGGTGCTGGATGCCACTGCCCTGAAGGCCTGCAAGATCTCACGTTTTGAGAAGGTTTGCACCCTTAGGCACCTTTCTCTTCCCTCCACTCCCATGGCCTCGAGGCCCGGAGCTCTGCAGGGGCCGGGGGGAAAGGGCCCGGGCCTCCCCTTCCCTGGCTCACCAGAGCCTCACTCCTGCCCCCACTCCAGCACTTGTACAACGCTGCTGCCTTCAGAGCGCGGACCAAGGCGCGCAGCCGCGTGCGAGACAAGCGGGCAGACGTCCTCTGAGGCGGGGCCGGCCGAAGAGGAGACCGTGCACACCCGCGCCTGTGTTTTTAACAGAAGACACTGCAACAACTGGTCCCTGCCAGGAATTGTCGCTTTATTTTTTTAATGACAAAACCAAAAACAGACATGGTGGTGCGGGGGGGTTGGTGGTGTCCAGGGCACTCGGGGTCCTGGCCCCTTGCCCCCCGCACACAGCGCTGTGGCCTCTCCCTGCCCTGTCCCAGGCCCGGTCAGATGTGTGCTTGTCCCAGAGCTGTGGGGCACACGGTAGGAGGGCTGTCCTGTCTCTCCTTTCTTGGGCCCTGCTCCTCTGGGATGATCCACTTCCTTGAGGAGAATGGCATCTGCACAAATGGCACCAAAACAGGTGGGAACACGAGGCTACCTGGAATGGATCTATATGCTGATTTTTAAAGATTATTAGAGATAATTAAACTGAATGCTCAGCCTTCTGTGGCGCTTAGCTCTGGGTGTTTCTGCCTGCCCTCCCACCCACCACCCCCCTGGGCTCCCCCCCCATCTCCATCTCACCTTTGCCCTCCAAGATCATCTCCTCAGGTGGCCCTCCTCCCCATACTCAGAGCTCTGCCTGCTTGAGTGCTGCGGCTGGACCCCCGCTGGGAGGCCTGGCAGAGTTTGGGCAACTGGGGTGGGGGCAGCTATTTCTAGACTTGAACCTGCTGTCTGCGGGAAGCCAGAGGCTGCTGACAGGCCATGGAAGGAGCCAGGAGGCTGGTGTAACTTCCTCTGACCTTGGGCCACCGAAAGCAGGACCTTGGCACCAGAAAACCTGGCCAGGCCTGGCCTGAAGACAGGAGAGGCGGGTAGCTGAGGGGTCAGCTTAGTTTCTTGTATAAAAACCTCACCAAGGAAGTAGTGTGGAGCCGAGGGTAAGGAGAAACCTGCCTTGGCCACTTTATTCCCGCGCCCCTCCCCCCCCACATCCCCAAGCCCCGGGTCCAAGTGGTGTCTCAGCTGGGTGCTTGGGCCTCACTGGAGTTGAGCCTCCGCAGCTGGCTGAGGCTGGCAAGCCGGAGTTTGAGTAGCGTCTCCTCCTGGGTGTGCAGTGTGTGCGCCAGCATGCGGAGGGACTCACTCTGCAGAACTGGGGACAGGCAGGGGCGGGGCATTATCAGACCACCGGCCGCCCCACAGCTCCCCACCCTTTGCTGCCTCAGCCTCGGCAGCTGCTCCCTCTGACCGTGCAGAAGGGCCTTCCAGTCCCAGCTCCTCGCCCTCGGTTCCCACTTGCTTCCCACGCTGGCCGCCCGTACCACTCAAGTAGACGGCCAGGATGGCGAGTGCCAGGCAGGTGAGCGCCAACAGAGCCAGCAGCACCAGGACGCTTCCCCTGCCTTGCCCAGGGCCACAGCCAGCCTGGGCGCACAGTGACGGTGGCAAGATGCCCATGAGCTCGTCCCATGGCTGCGCCGCCTCGGCCGGGTAGGGGCGTAGCGAACCTGGGGGGCAGATGGGGCATCAGGAGGATAGGGGTTGTATCTGCCTCCTCCCCTCTCCCAGTACGTCTGTCCTGCTGCCCTGCCCCACTCACCTCCGCCATGTAGGTCGTTGATGGACTCCACCTGGTGCAGGCGCACCTCCTGTATGTGGTTGGGGGCAAGTGGCGCCCTGCTCCTGGGGCTCGGTGTCAGTGCCACGGTGTCTGCTGGGACAGTGCAGGGCTGATTCAGCCAGCAGGTCACCCCCCTCCCTTCTTTGAGGTGGTTTCCAGCAGCAGTGGCACTCAAAATGGGAAAGGACAAAGGGCCGTTGGCTCCAAATGCCCTAAAACCCAACTCAGGAATGACCCTTGATTTGGAGCCAAGATGACCTCAGAACCCCACAAGCCTGTTAACACCCACAGTAGCAGGAGGTACATTTGACTTGCTCACTTTTGTTTGCCACCAAGCACCGCAAAGACTTTCAGGCATTCCTCGGCCTGCTCATTCCTAAAGAGCTTATCAGCCTTGGAGGACTAAACCCATGGCGCATGAAATTCATCCCTGCCTCTGAAGCTATCAGTTTTCCCTGCAGACCCTGCTAGTTAGCCATCGGGCCAGATCCGGGGCCTGGCACCTTGGCAATCCCAGCAGAAGCAGCCGCTTCCTAGCTGGGTGCTGCTCGTCTCCTGTGGCCTTAGCTCTGCTTTAAGGGCCTCTGCGAGCTTTGTGATTCAGCTGTACTTTTGGGAACCCCACTGTTCCTGCTGTTTTCACTCAACATCATAACAGGAGACCTGCCTCTGTTATCAAGCTGTTGCACATGTTTCTGAGGCCTCCCTTTGAGGCTGCCTGGGCATTTAGGTTGTTTCCAGGTCCCTTCAGAAGTTAATAACCCTGAGGAAAGGACATGCATCAGTGAGTATGAAGGTTTTTCCCGATTTCCTAATCGTTAATAAGGACAGATTCCTAGAAACAAAATTACTGGCTTACAGAGCAGGGGCTTTTTCTTTAAGCCGTCATCAGACTGTCCTTCAGAATGACTGTCCGTAGCCCCCAGAAGTGTACATCGCCACCATTAGGCTTTTTCATTGAAAAAAAAAAAATTACAGGGGCGCCTGGGTGGCTCAGTCGTTGGGCGTCTGCCTTCGGCTCAGGGCATGATCCCAGGGTCCTGGGATCGAGCCCCACATCGGGCTCCCTGCTTGGTGGGAAGCCTGCTTCTCCCTCTCCCTCTCCCCCTGCTTGTGTTCCCTCTCTCGCTGTGTCTCTCTCTGTCAAATAATAAATAAATAAAATCTTGAAAAGAAAAAAAAATTACAGGGGCGCCTGGGTGGCTCAGTCGTTAAGGGTCTGCTTTTGGCTCAGGTCATGATCCCAGGGTCCTGGGATCGAGCCCCGCATCGGGCTCCCTGCTCCGCGGAAAGCCTGCTTCTCCCTCTCCCACTCCCCCTGCTCGTGTTCCCTCTCTTGCTGTCAAATAAATAAAACCTTTAAAAAAAATTACATACATACATGCGTACACATATGTTTGCCAAACTGGGAGATGAGGAAAGGCTTTCTTTGACCTATTCAATGGGGTTTCTTTGCCTAAAGTGCCTTCCTTATCCATTCCCAGCCTCTGCCCACTTAGTCACTGGGGTCTCTTCTTGTGATTTTAGTTGTTTTTAGACCCATCAAAAGTATTTTGTGATTTCTAAAAATTATATTTTACTTTTCCTTTTGTTTTTTTTTTTAAATCTTGGCCCCTTGAATCTCCAGATACCCAGCTGGATGCTAGATAACAAAGTAGGGGGGGCATTGAGGGAATGCCTCCTGATAGGGGCAAGGGTGATTGGACTCTGAGTCTATCACTTTCAGAACAGTAACTCCGCCTTTGTGATTTGCTTGAAACTGGCCCTTGACGTGCCCCAAAGTAAAATGAGATGCTGCCAGTCATGTTTGGGTGATGGGTTGGGGGTCATATTAAATTCCTCTCTGCACTTGGCTCTGCTTCCTCACTTTTTTTTTTTTGATATTTATTTGAGAGAGTTTTGTGCATGTGCACACAAGCAGGGGGAGGGGCAGGAGAGGGAGAGAATCTCAAGCAGGCTCTGACTCCCTGCTGAGCGCAGAGCCTGACGCAGGACTCAGTCTCACCACCCTGAGTTCATGACCTGAGCAGAAATCCAGAGTTGGCCGCTTAACGGACTGAGCCAACTAGGCATCCCTTCCCCACACTTTATAAGTTGAACTTGGATTCTGTTCATTCCCAGGAAAAACATGGTAAACATCGTTGTTAGGATCCCAAAAGGAGGCAAACATCACCCACCACTACTGGGGGCTGGGCGCCCCCCATCCAGTTAAAATGTTGAAAACGTGATAAGGGAGTTGGCCAGCTGGGCCAGGCTGGAGCGGGGAACAGCTGGTCATCCCCGCTCTGGCCCCTCTGAACCTCTGTACTTCTTGCATGCAGGGGGGCAGTTAGGGGAGTGGCCACTAAAGTCTTAACTAGCTCTCAGTCAAGCCAGGCCAAGGGATCCCAACTAATGGTTGGGTCCATTTGGGCTCAAGTTGGAGGAGGCCAGAGATCTATCCACTCCCAGTCTCTGGGCCACATGCACAAATGCCTCCCGGGGCCGAGGCCCGTGGGATCCCAGCTTCCTCCCTGAATGAAGAGCTGAACCGGCTGGCTCTGCCCTGCCCACACCCACTTGGACACGGCCTGTAATTGACTAGGTGGCTCCCCCCAATCCCTCCCTGTCCTTAGCAGGGGAGACAGGCAGGGCCCGAGGGAGAGGTGGGGTTCCAGACGTGGTAAGCCCTTTCTCCATGCATGGGGGGCAGGTCCCTTTACTCGTGCTGGGACACGGTGATTGATGACTAGTCAAGGAAGTGAGGTCAGTGGGATGGGGCAGGGTTACTCTGTGATTCACAGGGTCACAGGACTGGGGCCTTGCCCTCCCCCATAATCCTCTCCTACCTTCTTGGGTCTCCTCAGGCATGGCAGGCGGTGGGCAGTTGGGGGGCTGATAATAGCACCCAGTAGCAGGACAGATGAAGGCAGCGGTGGCTCCTCAGAGCCTGGGGAAGGCTAGCCACCTCCCAGCCTGGGCCTAAAATAGGCCTGAGCTCAGCCCACTGGGCTATATTTAGAGGGGGCAGCTCTCAGCCATGGGAATGGGGGGAGTGGCTCATGCCGGGACTATCTAGCTGGTGATGGGGCCCAGACAAGAGCACACCTCCACTCATGCAGGTGTCCAGGGTCTTTTCTGGGGAACCCTGCCACCCCCATATATGCACAGGCCTCGGTGTCTTTAACCAGACAAGCTGCCTCATGCTCACCTCCAGCAATGCCCCACATGGTAGCTGAGACCTGTGCCTCTCCACCCCCAAAGACCCCTACTCAAAGTTGGGTCATCTCTACTCCAAACAAATGGACAAGCACCTATACCCCTGTGTGGCTTGCTGGCCCCAGGGAGTGGGGTGATGGATAACTGGAGCCCGGGCCACGAGGGCCCCCAAAGGGGGCGGAGACACACCTATCCATGCAGGCACTCATGTTGGTCAGTGGGCAAACTTAGATTGAAGATTGGGATTTCTATTAATAAGCTTACAACCTTGGGTAAGGGATTGCCCCCTCTCTGACCTCCATTTTCTCATCTGTGAAACAGGAATGACAATGGTTCCTCCTTGGCACAGGACACATAAGAATGGAAATACAGCCACATGTTGGAAGCCCTTAGCACAATGCAGTTTAGATCCTTCCTCCTCTCCAAGGGTATACAAGTCACCAGTGTGTGAGGAAGCATGGTACCACTTACCCTTGAAGGGAGGAAGTGGCTAGGCTTAGGGCCCACCCTCTGCTATGGGACCCCCTAAGGCCCTCCTTCCCAACTGGAACAAAGCAAGACAATGAGCTCTACCTCCTTAAGCATCCCAGATCCATGACTTCACTGTATCACTGGCCTCCTTAATGTTCCTGGCACACAGCCACCTTGTTTCTCTCAGGGCCTTTCCACTGGCTGTCCCTTCCTAGAATGCTCTGCCCCCAGATACTCCCATGGCTGGCTCCTTGTCGTTTAGCTCAAATGTCACCCCCTCATTGATGCTATCTCACGTTATTTTACATATCACCAAATTTCATTTTGTTCATAGCACTCAGCCAAGAAATCCTATTATTCAGAATACACTGTGTATGTCAGTAGGACCCCAAAAGGCCCCACAGAATCCACTCGGTCACATGGAAACCATCTTTGGTCCTCCCCACAGCATCCTCAGCAGAAACTGAGGTCTTGAGACCACGAGGAAGTTTCCCAAGGCCACACAGCAAGACCTGGCACCCGGGGTTGTGCGCTGGAGCCGTTCCAGCTTCGGCTGATAATGTGTTTATTGCATTAGTACAATCGGCCTGCCCCACACCACCCCCCACCGCTCAGCCTTTTCACAGCTTTCTGCTCATTGCCCAGGGAGGAGGGCCTTCCCCCGGGGTGGGCACTCCGGGCACCCCCTCCGCCCAGGTCGTTGCTCTGGAGCCCTGCTTCTCTGCCTCCTCGCGATCAGCAGGACCCTGTGCCCGGCCTGGGCCGCCCCTCCCAGCGCTACATTCAAGGGTTATCCTCTGTTAATAAATAAGCCGGCGAGGCAGCCCCGCGGCCAGGGCCTGTCGGTCGGTGGGTATCTCCATCGGCCAGGGACCAGTGTGCCGAGTCCCCTAGCCGTGCGTCCCCCAGGGTCCGCCCTCCCGCTCCCGCCTGGAGTCTCCTTCCCTGTACCCAGCGTGGAGGCCGAGTCACCAGCGCGCGGCGCTGCGGGGCCCCCGCTCAGCGCGCGGCTCGGGGGCGTGCCTTCGGCGGTTTCTGCCCTTCCTCCGCGACTCGGGAGGCGGTGGGCGCGACTCGGGCTGCAGACGACACATTCGCAGGGAGCTAGCGCCACCGCCGCCCGGCTCCACCAGCTGCAGGAAGTCCCGGTACCAGAGCTTGGGGCCCGGAGGGGCGACGGGCGCAGCCTCCTCGGCCCGGGCCAGCCTTTCGGCCTGCGCGGCGCTCAGCACGTGTAGCGCCAGGCGACGCAGCGGCTGCGAAAAGCCCTGCTCCACAGCTGCGCACAGGTACACGCCTGAGTCCCCGCGCCGCAGCCCGCGCAGCAGCAGCCCCCGCGTCAGGCGCTCGGCGCGCTCCTCCACAGCCACCTGCGGGCCGGGCCAGCGGGAGGCGTGGGCGTCAGGGTCGGGAACAGGGAAACCCGGCTCCAGGCCGGGCCGGGAGAGGCAGAGGGTCAACGGCGGCCGAGCGGGAGCAGGAAAGGGCGCCCGCAGGTGCACATTTGGAGGCTGGGTGCACTGGGACCGCTGGTCTAAAAGTGGATCCCCGTACGGGCGGGTTCACCTGGACATGGGGGGGCGGGGGCGGGGCAGGGAGCTCAATAGGCAGGGCGAGGGCGGGGCTCCTCTCTGATGGGGGAGGGGGTGAGACGGAATGAGGCCTCAACAGGATGTGGAGTGCAGGTAACGGGACCAAACTGGACCTAGGGGCCTGGTTGAGCGGAGTCTCACTGGGCGGGGCCGGACCTGGTCTAGAGGAGGGAGCAGGCCGAGGGCCTCATTGGCTAGGGCGGGGCCTCTCCTGGATGTAGGGGCGGGACAAGGGCCTGTTGAGGAGGGGAGCGGCAGGAGGCTCACCTGGGTGCGGGCCGCCCCCCCTGCGCTCTGGAAGGTCCATTCCACGCGTGCCTGCAGCGAGCGGGGCTCACACTCCAGGAAGACGCTGCCGCCTTCCACACCGAACACCTTCCGCTCCAGCAGTGTGGGATGGGACGCGTCTGGGGAGGGCAAGGGATTTGTCAAGAGTCAGGCAGGGCAGGGCAGGATGGGGCGTCTTCAAAGGCCGAGAAGTAGGGGCAGCTGGGTCACTCACCCCCTGAGCACAGCGTACTGGGGTCTCCGTTCTTCACGTCTTGCCGCCGAAACCGCCTGCGGGGAGGTGGGGGGGCAACATGGAATTTCCATGAGCCCTTCTTCGCTTAGCCAGGTGCTGCAAAGGACTCTGGGTGGCCCGCCCCCGACCCTGCCCACCTTTTAGCGCTGGGCTGGAAGCGCGTGCACGCGGCCCCGTCCCAGGCGCAGTAAGGGTCACGCGCCAGGCAGCATTCGGCGCAGGCGCGGCCGTGGGCAGCACAGCGGTGCAAGGGGATCTGGGCCACCGCGCTCCGCGAGGCTACGTACAGCTGGTGCTAGGGGGCACGAGTCGGGGCTCCGGGCTGACCGAAGGCAGCCCTGTGCCCGCCTCCCATGGGTCAGAGATCCCTTACCCCACTTGACAGATGGGAACACTGAGGTCTCAGGTCACGCAGTCTAGCGAAGGCAGAACCTATACTCAAACCCGGGGCTTCGAACTACCAAGGGAGGCGTGGGGGTGGGGGCTCCCGGGGAACGCACTGGGTCCCTTTTATCCCCAAGCCTCTGGTCACTTACTCTCTTGGAAGAGATTTGCATGCTGGTGATAGCAGCCGAGTCCTGAGAGGGAGGAGGAGTGCTGGGATCAGGGATCAGTGGGCTGGGGTTACTCCAGGGAGGGGGGTGGGGCGGTGGGAGCTAGGCTTCACCTCAAACACGTGCAGCTCCTCCAAGAGCAGCCCCTCCCCGTTAGGCCGGCCGCCCTTGGGGACCGAGATCACCTTCAGCACTGTGCCAACATCTGCAAGGATGAGGAGTGAGTGACTCCTTGCGTTCCCTGATAGCTAGGACTGGGGGTCTCCTCACTTGAGGCCTTTACCCTCAGCATGGTTGGGTCCGTGAAGAATGTGGGTTGGAACAATAAGAGCAGCATCCAGAAGGAGATGGGGGCATAACCCAGGCAGAGATGTGGAGGTGAGACTGGACAGGGGCAGCTTCTAGTAACAGGCCAGAGTCTAGACTGGGGTTTATTTAATGGGTGGTCATGGCAGGATACTGACCTGTGCCAATGAAGAGGACGTCGTAGTGTCCGTCAGCAGCTGCCACACGGTCTGCAGTGATCTGGGTGAAGGTGTACCCGGCACCCACTTGTAGGAAGAGAGGGCGCCCACCCACGGGCAGGACCGAATTGTACATGAGGGGGTGGTTCCGGGCAAACTGAATGACGTCATCAGGAAAGTCCTTGGTAGAACTGAAGGTGCCAAAGGTCTTGCTGGGGCACTGGGCGGTGGGGAGGAGGTGCGACAGGGATGTGGGTATGAGGGTCTGGTGGCCCACAAGAGACCTCCAGGAACTGGGAGTGTGTGGGGGTGCTAACGGACAGAGCCTTGCCCTGGGAATCTGAAGGGAGAAGACCCAGCCTTGCCCTTGGGAGTCTTAGGGGGAAATGGGGCCTTTCTTTTAGAAGCCCTGCCTGATGAAGGTAATGTTTATCCACCCAAGGATAACAAAGAGGAAGAAACCACATTCACCAAGAAGATCCCAGGCCAAGTTCTCCACCCCTGAGACTTTAAGTGGGTTGTGGTGGGAATCCTGGGGCTACGCACCATGCCTGGCCGGGGGTAGGGGACACGGCCCTGATAGGACACCCACTGGTGCAGGGGCCCTTCCTTGTGTGCAAAGGGCCCCAGGAAGGCACGGCGCACATCGTTCATGCTGTACACGCACACTGCAGAGCCTCGCAAGATGGTGCTGTAGGCGAAGGCATGAGCAGAGTGAGGGGCCCAGCAGAGCTGGGCCAGCCCCTCCCACGGCTTCTTGCCCCTCACCTGGATGTGGAGAAGGCAGCATAGAGCAGCGGGCTCCAGCGGTCCCTCAAGGACAGCAGGAACACATCCTCTGTGGGGAAGGGGCCTAGTTGGGGAAGGGCACACAGCCCTCTGGGCGGCCGGGCTCCTGGGTCTGGGCCCCTGCGCTCCCTCTCCCCAACTCCACCCTCCACTCCGGGCACTCACGGAGCTGGTCGAAGTGCGTGTCACCCTCAACACCTGGCACAGAGCACACCAGACGTGCCTTCAGGAACGTGGTCCACTTGTTGACTAGGCTGCGCTGGCCGCCCACGTCATTCTGCGGGGTCACTCAGAGGGCATGAGGGGGAGGCCCAGAGAGGCAAAAGGGCAGGGGCGTGGTCACCGGATGTGGCCCAGGGACTCCTCACCCGACAGATCTGGCCGACACGGGACACAGACAGGCGTCCCAGCGCTGGTGCAGCCTCCACTGCCGACTCCCGGAAGAAGAAGTAGACCTTGTCATCGTCGGGATTCTCGCTCTCCGGGATCCAAAAGACCTTGACAAACTTGGGCTCTAGCGGCAGGAGGTGTGAAGTCAGCAAGGTCCTGGCCCTGCACTCATGGGACCCATGCGCTCCCTCTCCTAACTCTGGTGCCCCCAGAAGCCTGTGGGGCAACATCTGAGCACCCAGTCTCTAGGACCGAGTTCATTGGGATGGATGGCACTGCAAGCGGACAGGATCCGGAGGATCAGGGCCTATGAGTCAAGAAGCAGCCACGAGAGGGCAGCAGAGACCGAGGCTACCTGGACAGCAAGCCTCTGCCCTGGTCCCTGACAGCTCCCCAGGCCAGTGGGCCAAGAAAGGAGGGAGATGGCAGATCAGTTGTACCTGCACTCATGAATCTTCCTATTGAGCAGGAAGCAGATGCCCCCATTCTGCTTGGTCCCCTCACTCTTATAACAAATGACGTGGACCCTGAGAGCGCAGACCCCTTCTCCTTTCTCCTCTCATGGGTCCTTCTGTTCCTTGGCTTGTTCCTGCCCGGGATTCTTTGCACTGGTTGTTCTTTCCCTCAGTCCTGCTGTGCTTTGGGAATTAGCTCACCCCCTCTTGTCAGCAGAGTGGCTTCCTTTCTTGTTCTCCCACCTGGTCTTTTCCCTTTCTGTCTGTGCACTCACCAGTCTCGCGGCCATTGGAACCGATCTTAGGATGTATTTGTTCTGAGTTCTGTGAACTCAAAGAGGGTGCGGGCCACACGTCTTGTCTGCCCTGCAACCCCAGTACCTGGCACAGGGCTGGATGCATGGTAGGGACAGTGAGACCCGGCTGCACCCATTGCTCACTTCCGTTATGGGCCTTACTCGGCACCTACCCTGTTGGGGATGAGGGCCCCTCCCAAAAGCCCCACCAGCCTTTCACCGTTGAGCCAGCGGGAGTCATGTGGTTCTGTCCGGAGACTTGGACGCTGGCCCAGGCTGCGGAAGATGGTGAAGTCCCGGCCCATGAGGTCTGCAGCCACCCCTGAGTATAGTTCTTCTCCTGCAGATAGGGCGAGGGCTGCTCAGCCAATCTGAAGGCTTTTGGTGGGGGGTGGGGGGGTGCTTGGAGAGCTCTGGGAGCTCCTTGGGAGTCAGTGAGGCCATGGGGAATCCCCGGGGCTCTCAGGAGGGTCGAGAGTCTCTGAGGGGCCCTAGCCTTCGGACTCACCCACCAGCACGGAGGCAGCCCGATGCCTCGGGTCATAAGGACTCTTGCCCTTGCCGTCCTCTAGCCGTCGAAGGTCCAGCCGGAGCATGGGCTCCTGGGAGGCAGGGGGCAGTTGTTACTTTTAGGCCCTTCTTCACCTCCCAGCCTCCCTCTCTGCCCAGATCTGGCCTTACCTCCAGCCGGTGGCCCACCTCCACAAATGCACAGGTTGGGTGGAAGGCCCCTGTGCCACAGGCCAGCAAGTGGGTGTGGTTGTAGGCATGCAGCAACTTCACGAAGTTCATGCACTCAGTCTAGTGGGCAGGCAGGGCCAGCGACAATGAGGCCTCCCCCAGGGAGGCAGGCTTAAGGGGTCCCAGCTCACCAGTGGCACCTCACCCCTTCCTCTCTTCTGCGTCAGTCCAGGCAAGCACCAACATGGGCCGCATCGACCTGCGTGCCCTTGGTGACCAGCCCAGCCCACCTCTCACCAGAAGGGGTGCATGGAAAAGCAGAGGCCTGTACTGCCCCCTACGACTCAGAGGCCCCCAAGAAGAATCACATGAGCCTCCACCCTGAGTCACTACCTCCAAACTTCAGCCACCTCGACTCCCGCCCCCATCCCAGCCAGAACAGGCAAGCCTCTGTCTTGGCGCTGCTGTCTTGTAAAGCGAGGGGCTGGCCTCCCCACTCCCACCCCCGGCAGCCAGCACTCACACCAATGTCCTTCCCCGCCCAGTTGCACTCCTCTCGCCATTCCACGGGGGCCGGCCAGGCCAGCTGCAAGGAGGTCGGGGGGAAGGGGACACAGGTCAGGGCCTTTGCATGGTCTCTGGGCAGAGGGTGTCCGCTCAGGGGGCCCATCCCCCTGGGTCTCTCCAAGCAGTCTGGAGTGGGGTCCTGGGGCTCTTTCCCTAGGAAGCACCGAGGCTGGGGGTCCCTGGCACCTTCTTGGCCCGCTTGCTGATATTGTCCAGGCTGAGGGAGGCCACATGGTTCTCGGCGCCCACAAACAGGCGTCCTCTCTCCTCATCCACCAGCAAAGCTTCATAACAGCAGGTCCTCTCTAGCCTGAAGGTCCGGAGACCATGCCGGGCCTGGAGCTCTGCAGAGTAGGGAAACCACTAAGGATTTGCCAGCCATGCTGGAAGCTTCCCCGAGACCCTGCCTGTCACTCTCACAGGTCATGGTTGTACATGTGACCTGGCCCACACACATGCGAGTTTACACGTGTGTGAGTTTACACTCGTGAAGACAGGCCCACCCGTGTGTGAAGCTTCCATGGTGGGCAGTGCAGCAACCCCCCAAGGGGAAAGCAGGTTGAACTCCTCGGGCAAGCTTGGACAAGCAGTGTCTGCAGGCGGGCGCACGGGGAGGCCAGGGTGCCGGGGGAGGCTGAGCGTGTCTGGAAAGCCAGAACCCCAACCCCAAAGTCAGGCTGAGGGTTCTCTGCCACCAGCCTGAGCTCAGTGCAATGCCACTGCCTAGTGATCAGTGACTGCCCTCCCGCATAGGGGGCGTGGGAAGGGGGCTCTGGCGGCCCCCACACCTCAGCTTCCCTGGGGCTGGGTCGTGGATGGGACACAGGCAGGACCTGTTGCCATGGGAATGGAAGGGGTCTTCCTGGGAAAGCAAGAGGAGAATGTGCGTGCAGAAAGTTTGGGGGCTGAGGCCAGGACAGGGTTAACTGGAGATGGCCTGACAGTGCCCCCAGTCACACCCGGGCCAGTGGCACAGGGCAACAGCAAACGCAGTGCCCCCTACCCACACTGGGCCCCTCTCCTGCCCACCCTGAGCTGAGCCCTCCTGCCTGCCAGGTGCACCTACCTTGGAAGGAGAGCCGAAGGCGCGGGGGGCTGGGGCTAGCATCCCCCAGCACTGCCGCGCAGAGCAGGGCCAGGCCCGGGATCATGGCGGCCGCCCTGGCCCGCCCCATCCTGGCGGCTCAGGGTGCTCCGGGTTCAGCGGGCGCGTGTGGAGGAGCCTTGAGCCGCCCTGGACTCTGCCCCAGGATCTGGAAGAGAAGGAGCTGCAGCAAGGACGAGGGCGGGAGGCTGGGGGGGGGGGAGTCCCCAGGGATCAGATTACAGCCCCTAGGGGAAAGAGGCTGGGGGGTCGCATTCCACTTCCGAGCTCTCCCCTCCCTCAGTGTGTGCCCTGCCTGGCCACAATCACAGACACACCCACGCTGGGCACACCCTCGGGGTCACCCCCACACTGGCAGGCGCCCGCCCCACCACGTCACCCTCCCTAGGAATCCCCCCCCCCCGACACACTCATAGGCATTAATTCACAAACTCTATGCGCTTACCCCACGCCAGCCTGGGACACAGGGGGACACAGACAAGGTCCCCATGCAGGAGGAGGCAGAATGCCAACAAGGACTCAGATCAGTGCAGTCATTTCAGAGGGCGCCCTGTTCGATGAGCAAAACAAGCCAGTCCTGGGAGTGAGAGCGGCAGGAGGGGGTCAGGCCTCTGGAGGTGGCTGGGCACCCAGGGCCTACAGAGAAACAGAGGCACCTTTGGGGCTGGAGCTGGGGCCAATGGTGTGGGCGCCTGTGAGTTTGAGTGTTTCTGAGGGTCCCTTTGTGTGCATGTGTGTGTGTGTGTGTGCGCACGCAGTGTGTATGCAGACAGGTGTGTCCATGCCTGTGACTGCGTGTGGCACGAGCGTTGCATTACACGTGTAGGTACGTGGCATGCGTGTGCACTTTGCGTACGTGTGTACATGTGTGTCGTACACATGTGCATGTGCGATTGTGTGTGCATGCACACGTGTATGCGTGTCTCTCTGGACATGCAGGTGAGCAAATATAACCACAGCGACAATCACTGCCTTCAACTCTGAGACGTGCCTGGAAGCCCCTCCTCCGAGGAAGAAGTGTGTGCAGGAGCCCCAAGGCTTCTGCCCCTGCCCTGGGGCCGGACGGAAGCCTCAGCTTCTGACTTGGAGGTGGCTCCCACTTGGATATAGCAGCCCCAGCTTCGTGCTTGACCTCTCTCTCCCCACCCGAGCCTGGAAGGGCCTGGTTACACAGAAATTCTGTGAGCTCAGACTTCAGACCCAAGAGGAATCAAGTCGGGGGGAGAGCCAGGGGTCTCAGGCGGCCTCTCTAGCCCACTGCAGGTGAGCTGCCCGTCCCTCTCTGAGCCTCCCCCACCTCCACGCCTCTCCCTCCCCTGCCTTCGCCCTCAGGCTTCCCCATCTTTGAGCCCCTCCACCTCTGCGCCAGAGCCCTTCCCCTGGACCCCTTCCGTGGAGCCAGCATCTGGCCGCAATGCCCATCATCCTTTCCAGAGCTGGCTGGGCAGGTGCTGGGCACAGGAGCCCTGGCGTGGGGTAAGGTCCTGGGGTGCTGTCAAGCAAGGGGCACAACTGCCAAGGCATGTTCCAGATCACTAACCCCCCCCAAGCCCCTGCCCAGTTCCGCAGCTCCCGGGCCCCTCCCGGGCTAGGACTCCCACCTCCCGCCATCCCTCCACTGACACTTGCCGCTGCTCTCCGAGCCCGTGAGCTCTGCGATGCCACAGAAACCCGGCTGCCTTCCCACACTCCACCAGAACTCCGGCGGCAGCGCCTCTCCACCCCAGCCCCGCCCGTCCTGGAGGAGGGGAGAAGCCTGGGGACCGCGGGGCACCCTCTGACGGCTCCTTTAAGGAGCAGCCCCCGCCTCCACCAAGCCGGCCGCCGCCCCACGCGCCGTCAAGTTTACGGGGTGGATCGGGTGACCAGGCAGGCAGCCTGGGCCAGCGGAGTTGGTGGCCTGGCCAGAGTGCAGCGGGCACAAGGGAGGGGCGACCCCTCCCCTGTCAGGCCTCAGGGCAATAGGGTGCGCCCAACAGCGGTCCGGTCCAGCCCAGGGCGGCCAGGCAAGGTGCAGGAGGAAGAAGAAGCCAGATAGGGGGCCCCCTCCCCAGCCCCAGACGGCTCTGTGAACAGTTAGAAGGAACAGTAGGTCCAGGGGACTCAAGGTCCTCACCTGTCCCAACACAGCTGGAGAGCTGGAGGCGGGTAGTGAGGGGCTCGGCTGGGATGGGAGGGTTGGAGGGCCGGACAAGAGGTTCTCGCAAGAGGTTCTCTGGTGGAGGTCTGATGGGCCCCCAGCCCCGCCCCAGGCCTTCCTCACCACTTGAGCCGCTTTGTGCTGCCACCACCTGGCTGGCACGGGCTGGGATGGCAGCAGTTGGGGCGGGAGGAGAGGGCCATGCAGGGCAGTCAGCAGATGGCAGAGGCCCACACGTTTCACGTCTGCACAGCAAGATGGAGGCCCATCCAGAGACCCCCTCCTGATAGGCGGTCCTGCATCTCTGCTGGGAGGTGAGGGGCATTCTGTGTGACCTGGGTGACTCAGGATGGGACCTTAGGGCCTCAGCTGGGAAGGGTCTTGGGATCTTGGCCTGAAGCTGAGTCTGGTGGATGACCCTATTCGTACTGCTAGGGGTCTACTCTGGAAGGGCCGAATGTTAACCATGGCTGAATGGGGCCCTCAGGTCAACGGGGCAAATTCAGGGCTTGAAGATGGGCTTTCACTCCTCAATCCCCCCAAAAGGCATCCTCCTACAACCTCCCCAAGGCTGGTCAGCAGCTCCTCAGTGGTCAGTGAGGAAGGCTGTAGGCTTCAAGGGCTGTGGCCCCTCTCCCCCCAGCTCTCCTGGAGTAGCAGTATCTGTGCCCAGCCAGGGTGGGGCCATGCCCTGCTTTCCTGAGTCTCAGGACCTAGTGTTCCTGGGATTGGCCTGGCTGGCTGGCTGGCTGGCTGGCAGATGAAGGGAGGGGGTCAGTGGGAGGACCAGGAGCCTTCAGGAAGGGGAGTGGAAGGATGCACCCCAGCCTGAGCTTTTGGACTTCCGGGATGTAGCCTCTTTCTCCTCCCAGCTTCTGCCTTGGACCTGGGCAGCCTCCCCTGGCCCCACGCAAGCGAACAAAATTCTTCGGCTGTTTACAATTTTCCACCCTAGCAGCCAAGATCAGCAAGTGCCCCCACCCACCCCTTTGGGGTGCCCCCTACCTGCCCCCACTGCTTTTAGTTCTCCAGGCTCAGGGTCCCAGTCTCTGTTTCATTCCCTCCCAGCCCCTCATCCATACTGAAAAGCGGGACCAGGAACCCCACACACACACCATCTTTCCAGCATCTTGGGGCTGTCCCTTGCCCACCTGAGCCCTTTGTGTTGCTTTCCTTGCCCTAGATGAGCCCTCTTCCCTGGGGCAGGAAGGGAGATCTGCATGGGTGGGAGCCCAAGTGTCCCTGTTCCCACAAGTTCTCTCTGCTCCTCAGCCACAGGTCCAAGCATATGCCAGACCCTGGGTGGGGACCTCACGGAGGCGGCCGTCCAGGAGCAGCGCCATTGACTGTGGGTTACGCTGCACTCCGGGAGTCTCGAAGTACTCTGGAATCAGGCAGCCTGGGCCTGAGTCTTGACAGAATGGAGCAAACTCGGGAATGCAGCTGGGGTCCCTATTCCTACCCGCACCCCAGCCCAAGGGCCACCTCAGACTCCTGGCCTCTATGCTTTGCCAGGGTCGCCATGGGCAGAGGCCTGCCTGGATTCTTGCCCTGATGCTGCCTGTCAGTGCCACAGCCTTCCAAGGCCTTGGTTTTTCCTTCTGGAAATAACTGAATTGTCATGCCAAATCCTACCACTCCCCTCCTGACCCCTCATCACCAACCGGGCCTGCCCTCTGCCTGCACTCTAGGTGGTGTGGCTGGGGTAGGACATCCATCTGAGGAAGGCTAGCGTTAACCCTCCCAGTGCCCAGCCTGGGCTGGGTCAGGCCTTGGCTCCCCACTCGCACCTGCTTTAGCCATCAAGGCTGGTGGCTCCAACGTCATAACCTTTCCTAGTTCTGGCCACGTGGGAACTAGAACTCGCTACCCTGAGGACTTAGGCATTGGGTGGGGGTGGGCCCAGGGAAGCCTAACTGAGGCCTGACTTCCCTGACAGTCCACTACCCACCCCTGGGAGATCTCCTGGGGACTGGTGTTAGAGCCCTTCCCCCACGCGCCCCCAGCCTGGAATCCACGCTCCCGGGGACCCCTGGCCCACCTTTTTGGAAAGATCAGCTCTTCCCCTCCTTGCCCGTTCCCCTTCCCTTCTGAGGGCCATGTCTGTGCTGAGGTGGAGGGGCCGAGGGAGGGGCCGCCAGGAACCCTGGGCCTCTGGCTGTGGCCCTGCCCCCACCCGCTCCGCCCCAGCCCTCCGCCTCCCGCGCATTCCTCCTGGGCTGAGGTCAGCCCCTCTGGGATGGGGGAGCCCCCCCCACCAGCCACATCACAGCTCTCCTCTTGCTCCTGTTTTCTTCATTGCCCAGCAGGGTTGGGGGGGGAGGGTGGGGGGCGGAGGGGGTGGAGCCTCCCTCTCCCCTCCTCCACAGCCTAGGGGAGTGTGGGAGGGGGTGCCAGGAATGCAGCCAAAGTAGACTGGGGTGGCTCTCCACGCTTATTAACATATATTAACATACGTGCTACCTTCCCTTAATCGGCTCGGGGGACAGCTGCCCAGGAGTGCGGGCTGGGGGCTCTGGATACTGGGGTGGGGGCGAACCTGCCCCAGGGATCAGGCCCCTTAGTAAGCCGGGAGGAGCAGGGTGAAATCGCGACTGCTGCTCCCCAGCTGTGTGTCTCTAGGGAGACACTGAACCTCTCGGATCTCTCTCCTCAACTGCCCTGCGGTTGCAGCTGGGTGCAGGGTGGGGGAACACAGGGGTCCGCTCTTGGTGCCACCTCCGCACCCGGCATCCTGGGCCTCCAGGCAGACCCTTCACTGCTGCGTCTTTCAGCCCGGCTTCCCCAGCACCCCTTCTCGGGCTTGGCTCTTCTCCTGTCCCCCCCCCCCCCCCCCCCCCCCCCCCCCCCCCCCCCCCCCCCCCCCCCCCCCCCCCCCCCCCCCCCCCCCCCCCCCCCCCCCCCCCCCCCCCCCCCCCCCCCCCGCCCCCTGGGGACTCCTCAGTCTTCTTCCTTGGAGTCTCCAACCCAGCCCTGGCAGGGCCCAAGCGCCCATCCCTTCTCCCAGAGGCCCCAATCTCAGGGAGAACTTTTTGCCCGGTTAGCGGGACAAGGCCCCGCCTCCTCCCCCAGCAGCTCGTGGCCTGACCCCTTCACCCTACTCCCAGGCTGTGCCCTTGTGGTCTTTCTGCCACTCCTCCTCCCAACGCCTCCCCTCTGCAGTACCCAACCCCCACCTCAGAGAGCTCGCTGGAGCTTGGGGTTTCCCGGGCTCAGCCTTAGCTGACCCCGCCAGTGCTCCGAGCACCAAATTTTGGGGAGGCAGCGGCTCTTTCTTTGCCAGGACTTTGCTTTGGGCTGTGTTCTCCACCCTTTAGGCCCTCCCCTTTGCCACCTGTTAGACTCTCTTCTTCACCATTCAGTATCCAACTTTCCCAGTGTCGTGTCAGTGTCGCTTCCTCTGTGAAGCCCCAGATGCCTAGAACACCCAGGTCCATGCCTCTCTGCAGGACTTTGGGTCCCCCAGTGGCTATCATCAGGCAGAGGACAGGTACAAGGAGGGAGGAGACAGAATGCCTGCAGGAAGCCCTTCCACCCTCCTGGGCCTGCTGAGTAGGGCAGTGGCGGGGGAGGGGGGCAATGGGAGACTGATGGACAAGGGACACATCAAGTCCTTACTTGACCCTGCACCAGCTCCTCAGGCCTTGACTCTCTCCACCCACAATGAGTCTGGAAAGCAGAGTCAATGGGAAGGGATGTCAAACTGATTTTTCTCCTAAGTAAGATCACCTGTGGGGCTTATTTCATGCAAGGGGAGAAACCAAGACAGGGAGGAAAAAGTGATCCACACCCGCTTGGACCCTGGTGTCCGTCACCGTTATTAACCGAGGAGCTGAGTGGCTGGCAAGTATGGACACACTCGCCATCAGATAGCTGCACACATTCCCCACCTGGCCTATTGCCCTCCTTGATTGTGTGATGGGGGCTGGCTTTCCCTCTGGGTGTCCAAGAGGGGTTAGGGGAATGCGTAGCCCCATGACAGGGATGTGGGCCCCCAGGATCTCTTTTCAGGGCAATAGACAGGAAGACTGGGCTCAGTTGTTTGGGAGTGAGCCTAAACCCCAGAAGTCAACCAAGAGAAGCTACGATCCTGTTCCTGCCCTCTCCCTGACTCCCAGGGCAGCTAGGACCCAGCCTACCAAGCCACAGAACAGGTGGCTGGAGTCAGGGCTTGTGTTCTCCAGCGTCCTGGCTGGCCTGGCGTTCTGGGTCTGGGATGGGGTCTGTGGGAGGATAATATGAGGGGCTCTGGGTGGGTGGGGAGTAGGAGGTTTGCCTGACATCAGAAGGAACCATGGGGCTGCCCAGGAACATGGTGAGGTGTTCTTCCAGGCCTTGGCAGCCCCTGCAGCGTCACAGGTCCCAGATCTCATGGGTCCCCTCCCCATTCTGCACCTCGAATCTTGGCCTCCACCCACCTGTTGTGGGGGGCCTGGACCTGAGCTGCCCACTGGCTCCTCCCCACAGGATCTCCCTAGTTCCTGCCCTCCTGAGGCCTCTGGCTCTCAGAGCTTGTCTCTCTCTCTTCCCAGCTGTTTCCTCACCCTGCTGATGGGTTAAAAATACGAAGGCTGCCACCACATCAGTAGCCTGAGCAACTATTTGGAGTGGGGTGGGCCCTCTGAGAGGTGGATCGGCCTCGTGGAGGTCTCCACCGGCTGGTGACAGCCCACTTCACACTGGGACCCACAAGCTTAGTCTGGAAGCAGGAGCCTGGGTCCCTTCCCCAGCTCTGCCTATCTAAGGGCCCCAGGCCTCATGGCTGCCGCTGCCCATGGGTGGGGCCAGAAGGATGGGCCTTCTTAAGCTGGGAGTGCTCCAAGGTACACAGAACCAGGGAGCACTGAATCTCTCTGGCTGCCCTCACCCCGCTGCTCCCAGGGAAGAGGTTCGGCCCCTGGAACGCTCCAGGCAGTAGGGGATCCCCAGGAGTCAACCGCATGGAGTCCCTCCCTTTGGGGTGTAGGACACCTGGGATGCCACCCCACACACCCCTGCCATCCCCAGCTGCCCCCCAAGGCTGGGAATTTCCCAACTGCCAAAGACAAGGAAGAATTGAAAGGCCGCCCCCGCCAGTGCTGGGACAATGGGGCCTTATGGCCTCCAAATCAGAGCAGGGGTAGGGAGGCCGAAGGCAGGTGGGGGCCTAGCTGTCTGCACCCAGGGAAGCCTCGCTTGCCAGGACCCCACCCAGACCCGCTGCAAGCTGGGTACAAGGGGTTCCTGGCCAGAATCCTGCAGGGCCCACCCAGGGAGAAAGGCCCTGGGTGCGTCTGGCAGACAATGCTGGCCCCTCAATGGTCCCTCTGTGCGGGGCGGGGGGGGGGGGTTCCCCTCAGGAGGGAAGGAAGGAACCATCTCCGGCGCGGCTTCCTGCTGGGCGGGCTTCACGGGGGTCCCCCCGGAGCTCCCGCCCCGCCCCGCCCGCCGTATCTGGGGCTCAGCGGGGTCCAGGCCTGACCGCCGAAGGAAGGCAGGGATCCTGGGTTGGGCGCGGGATTCTGTTCTCGTCAGCCGGCCCTCAGCCCTCAGTCTCGGAAGCAGCGGTAGCAGGAAAGGCCCGAGGTACTGGGGCGGCAACGGAGGCTGGGGGACGTTGATCTCCTTCCGATCGGGCGGCCACAGCCTCTCATGTCTTGCCAAACACTCGGGGCCCTGAGGCCGCGCGGGGACCGGCAGGTGTGCGGAGGCGGGGTCCCGGGTGCCCGGCCCCACCCTCCCACCCTCCGCCTTCCCCGCCTCCGCGGCGCCGACCCCGGCCCGGGCCGCTTTGTCCCGCCGCGGGCGCGGAGCCGTCGCTGCCCCACAAAGCTGCCTTTGTGCCCCGCGGCCTCCGCAGGACCGGCTGACGTCAGCGTCCGTGACCAGCCCGGCGGGGCCGGGCACGGACTGCGGCGCCCCCTGGCGGCTGAAGACGGGGGGAGCTCGCCCCTGAGCCCCGCCCCGCCGAGCCCTTTTCCGTAGGCTCAGCTGCCCGCGGTCGCCGCCGGTCGCCGCCGGCGGGACAAAGTCCAGGCGCCTTCCCAGGCGCTCAGGGCTCACCCCACAGGCATCCCCCCCCGCGCCCCGCCGTTTTGTCATCTGCCACTGTCTTCTCCAGCCACGTGCGTGCACTTCCCATAGCCTCACAGAAGCTTCCGCATTTCTAGGGCCCTTGTCCCAATGCACCCAGAGCCCTGCCGCCCTCCAGGGCCACTTGGCCTACGGCTATGGACACACTGAAGTGTGGCCACCTGCCTGTCTCTCCCCGGCCCCCCTCCCCAGGTTTGGAGGGGGACTTCTGGGGCAGAGACCCTTCTAAACATGCCTCAGGCCCCTACTGTCCCCAACTTCATGTTTTGTCAACCCCAAGAAGCCCAGCCCTGAGTAAGGATCTGGGCAACACCTCAGATTAGGAGAGGGGAGGGTGTACGAGGGACTCGGAAACTCCTGGTCTCTGAGCCTTGGGCCTGGGAAGTCAGAAGTCACATTCTCCTCCTGCACTACTCACTGGACACCTCTCACGCTCCCAATAGAGGAACCCCTTAGAGGAACGGCTCCCGAAGAAATCTGCCCGGCTGCTGCAGTAAGGCTTGAAGACTGCCACAGACCCCAGGCCGCTGAGGGGCTGGGAGGAGAGCGGGGCACGTACAGGACCCAGGGGGTAAAATGACAACCATGCGGGAAAACCGAGGTGCCGCGTACAGGGCCTGAGGACGACGTGGAGAGCCGAGCGGCCAGGGCCCTGCCACAAATGAGGACTCTGGTTTGGGTCACCATCACCTTGGTGTAGCTTAGTCTGGGTCTCTGGCCCCAGGACAGAAGAGGACCGAGCAGTACTTGGTATTTTTTCTTTCTACATTTTATTATTTCAAACCAGGTGAACAATTCCATAAAACATGTGAAAAAAGCAAGGAAGTGTTCAACGCTGAAGGACCCGGGCCTGGGGCAAGGGCATGAGGGGCAAGGCCCTCAGCAGGCAGCGGCGGTTCCTAGGTTAGCGCGCTAAAGAGCTACATTTAGGTTAATGGAGCCAGGGCCCAGGGCCACTGGGATGGGGCCCTCGGTGACGTTGGCAGTTGTCTGGATCAGCCCTTGGAACCCAATTCTGTGGAGGGCAGGGCAGGGCAGGAGTGCCGCCCACACGGGGGAGGTGGGGTAGCCAGCAGAAGGATGGGTGTAAACACGCAGACACACTCAAGGCACGGAATCACTGGAAGGGGGCTGGGTGGGTGCTGGTCAGGATTTGACAGTTTTAAATAATTTTTCTCTAAAAAGTTTTCTAGATTTGCAGTTTTGTCTTTTTTTTTTCCTTTACTTTCATTTTTTTTAAAAAGCTACGAGAATGAGCAAGTGGACTGTAGTCTCCAGGAACGGTGGCGTCTCACGCTTCTTGTGCTTTTTCCTTTGGGGCCTCCGAGCGGCTGGAGGGGGCGGGATGGGCAGGAGGCTCCCTGTAAACATTTGGACTTGGGCTGGGTCAGGGGCTGGTGTTGAGCGAAGCCAGGGGTCCCAGGCTGGAGAAGTGAGTGCCCCTCCAGACACAGGCCTTGGGAGACTCAGCATGTGCTCCCCTCCCCCATCATAGAATAAGACAATGTTAAAACCAGAAGAGATGCCCGGGAAGGGGGTACCGCGGCCATTTCCGGCACCCAGGACAAGGGCCGGCTTTAAACAGGGAGGCCTGTGGCAGTTCCTCCCCCGAGTCTCTGGAACTGAGAGAGAGGACAGGGGAGCCAAGAACAGAGAGAGGAAAGAGGGGAAAAGCAGCCCGGGGGTGGGGGGCAGGCAGGGAGCGTGGTCCTCTTGCCCCCATCTTCCTCAGGAGCTGGGGGGAGCAGAGTCGGCGGTGGCCCTGGAGGTGGGGGGACAGTCAGGGCATGGGTCGGGAGGTAGCCGGGGTGCGCCTCTCCTCCCACCCCCCTAGACAATGACCCTCTCCTTTTTCTCATCCACCTGTTACCAGGGACACTGTGGCTGCCCGGGAGCCAGGGTCTGTTGCTGGGTTACATGAGGGAGGGGAGTCTATAGCACTGGCAGAACCTTCCCCATCTCCCCCAGGGCCGGTGGGGCCATCATCAGCCCAGGACCCTCAGATAGGTCTGAGGGAAAGACTGCAGGGCTGAGCACAGAGCCGGTCACACTGAGTGTCAGGTGGCTGGGGCCTCTGTCAGCCAGCCTCCTTCAGGCCAGGCCAGTGGCTTGGAAGGGGGGTGGTGAGGAAGTGAGCTTTCTCCAAGGGAGGCCAGGACAGCCCTTCCGTTCCCTCCGGGCGCACGGCCGGGGGCTTCTGCTGTCTTCACCACTGCCCGGCCTGTCTGGGTGCTGGTGCCCCCCATTCAGTCGTCCCGCTGACTACCACCCTGTGCTCCCAGGCTCCCCACCTCCACCCTCCCCAGCCCCCACCGGTCCCTTCCCTGGGCTCGACGGCTCCGCTCTGTTCCACCCCCGCTCACCATCCTGCCAGGCCCCGCTGCCCCTCAGAAGAGGCCGCAGTCCTTCAGGTTGTTCTTGATGATGACGTCAGTGACGGCATCAAACACGAACTGCACGTTCTTGGTGTCAGTGGCGCACGTGAAGTGCGTGTAGATCTCCTTGGTATCTTTGCGCTTGTTCAGGTCCTCGAACTTACTCTGGATGTAGCTGGCCGCCTCGTCGTACTTGTTGGCCCCTGTGGGAGACGAGCCGGTGAGGACGGGTACCACCTGCGCGACCGGCGGGAACGACCGGGTTCTGTGCACGTGGACAGACATGCATAGAACATGTGCGCACGTGTGCGAAGGGTGATGGTGTGCGTGTACATGCGCGCCTGAGTGTATAAAGAGGGGCTCCTGACTGTGCACATGTAAGGGGCATGTGCCCTGTGTGCAGGCACAAGCCCGGAAGCCTAAGTGAGGCACCAGCTCCTGCCTGAGTGTCCTGCAGTTACCCTTCTGTCCAGTGGGGGGCGCCTGTGCACCACCTGGTCACCACCAGCTCCTCCCCAGAGGCCCAGTCCCCACACCTGTGTACTCAGGGAAGCAGATGGTCAGGGGGCTGTGTGTGATCTTCTCCTCAAACAGGTCCTTCTTGTTGAGGAAGAGGATGATGGACGTGTCTGTGAACCACTTGTTGTTGCAGATACTGTCAAACAGCTTCATGCTCTCATGCATGCGGTTCTGGGGGCAGGACAGCGCGGTCAGCACCTGCCCCTGCCCCCCGCCCCCACGCCCCCCCAGCGGCCTCTCGGCCTCTCACCATCTCCTCGTCCTCGGCTAGCACCAGGTCATAGGCGCTCAAGGCTACGCAGAAGATGATGGCAGTGACACCCTCAAAGCAGTGGATCCACTTCTTCCGCTCAGACCGCTGACCGCCCACATCAAACATCCTGCAGACACGGGGTCACCTTAGCTCCAGAAAAGGCAGTTCCCAGAGAGGGTCCCCGTTTCACAGGTTGGCTGAGGACAGACACCTGCTCAGAGGGGGGCAGCTGTCTTCACGGCCTCCCCCACACCTGCATGCCTCACGCCTGGTTCTGGGCCAGAGCGCATCTGCACGGGCAGGGCCGAGGTTAGTCAGCAGGGCAGGATGCAGCCACATGGGGCGGGGGGGGGGGCGGGGGGAAGCAGGGGAGCTGAGCCACTGGCAACCACGCAGCCTCAAGAAACCTCAGAGCGGGGCTTGGAACTCCTGGAACAGCCCCTCCCACCCAGCAGAGCCATTAGCGGGCCTTGGAGTGAGGGTCTCCCCACCCCCATCTGTTGCCCCAAAGACTGGCAAGTCCCGCCCTTCCACCCTGCCCACATGCCGGCTCACTTGAAGTGTAGGTCCTTGAAGGTGAAGTGCGTCTCCACAATGCCCGTGGTCTTCACACGGGTCCGTAACACGTCCTGCTGTGTGGGGATGTAGTCACTCTGCGCGATGCGCTCCAGGTCATTCAGGTAGCTAGAGGTGGGGGCAGTGGGTCAGTGGGGGTCGGCATGAGGCCTCTTCACCTGGACCCCGGGCCAGCTGACCCAGGCCCTCTATGCCTCTCCTCCCCTCATTTCTCAGACAAAGCCCTTGCCTCTTCAACCCTTGCCTTCATTACAGTCATTGCTCAGATGAGGAAAAACTGGACCAGAATCCTTCACCTCCTGCCCGGAAAATGGGCCTGGAGGAGGTGCAGCTCTGTGCCTGGCCAGCCAAGCCCTAGCACCCAGGTCTGAGTCAGGCCTGCCTCGGACAGGATCTAGGCTGGTGGAGTTGCAAACTGAGGAGGGTGGGAGGGGGCAACCGCGTCCTTCAGGGAGGGATTCGGGATGCTAATGGGCACAATCACAGCACCCACTGCGGAGCGGCCCGGCATGCCCCTCGATGCGGGGCTGGACAGGTCGGGGCCTGCCAGGCTCAATGGGCTCTTTGCCCAATGCCCAATAAAATTTGGGCTCCTCGGGGGGGAGGGCACGGACACCTGTTTGGCAGGAGTCCCAGGGGCTCCTCATTACCAGCTCCCTTGATTAGTATCAACACTGCCCCTGCCAGGCCCTGGGACTGGCTCTGCCGTCTGCCTCAATATCCTTGCTGTGCCCTGGGGACTGGGTCCTCCGAGCCACTGCCCAGTGCTGAGGTCTCACTCCTGGCGCAGGCCTGCTGGGGCCAGTGGGAAATGACCTCAGAGACGCAGGGACAGAACAGAAAAACAGGAAGGACCACGAGGGCCCATGACGCATGTGCTGTGACCTGCTTACTGCACCCTGTCGCCTACTGAGAAGCTCCTGCCTAGAGGTCTCCTGGAGGGTTCCACACCAGCCTCTCCCTTCTCCCCAGCAGGGCTCACCACAGGGACCCACCACGCGCCAGCAGCCTTGAAGGACTGCTGTGAAGAGGGGGTGGGGTCCTCCTGTTCCCTGTAGCGTTCCAATCTGCTCCCCACCCCACCCCCACCTGGGGTGAACTTGTCATGGCCTAGGAGAGCAGGACCTGTGTCACTGCTGAATCCCCACACCCAGACCAGAGCTGGGCACACAGTGGGTGGCCTGGAAGGTGGCCCCATCCCCACCTCCGTGAATGCCCTGGACACTGAGGTGGTAATGGTTGGGAGGGCCCAGCCCTGCCTGCCTCTAGGACCTACAAGCTCTGCTGGCGCTGAGCCCCTGGGACCTCTGGGGGTGGGGGTGCGCTGAGATCCAGAGGCCCCACTGTGTTTGGCTATGATTCTGCAGCTCCTGAGGGGCGCACTCGCAAGGGCATTCAGGCCACTGCAAGGAGAGGGAGTCAGTCCGTGTGACTGGGGCAGGGCTCAGAGCCAGGCAGGGCCCGCCTCTGAACCACCTCGCCCTGGTTCAGCCCCTCTCTGGGCTGCCTCAGCCCTGGATGGGCGGCGGGAGGGAAAGGTGCTGCGGAGGGGCTGGCTTAAGTGGAGGTGGGAGGGCTCAGGTATGAGCACGGGTACTGCTGCCTCTTTGGGTGCCCTCGCCCAAAAGGGCTGTGCCCGTCTCCCACAGCCCCACGGCCGTGAGCACTGGCCACCGACCGGCCCTGTTCTCCATGGGTGCTCAGCCCCCTGCACCAGGCCTGACACGTGGTAGGCAGCTCAGGGAAGGAGTTCAGAGCATGACCCTGTGGGCTGGACCTCTGGACAACTCCCAGAACCCCCTTGATTCCCCAGCCGAGTCTTGGGCTCTAAGCTGCACACAGATCTGGCCCCTCCCAGTCTCTTCCCCTTGTGTCTTCCTCTCCAGCCAGTCTGAACATCTGCAGCCGGCTCTGCTCCCTCCAGGACTGTGCACATGCTGTGCCCCCCGCCCCTGAGCTTGTCCTGTTCCTCCCCTGCCCATCTCTTGCTCAGAACTTGGCTGAGGCAGTCCCTCCTCTGGACCTACCCCCACTCCCACCATGACACGGACACCGTGGGTAGTCACTGCTTGGGGACTCATCTGCTCCACTCATCCCTGGATCCCTCAAGCCTTGCCCAGGGCTTGGCACAGGTGGCAGCAAATGTCCTTTAGGACGATTATGTCTAAGGACAGATTAGACTCAATTGGCCCTGGGGGACAGCAGCCCTGCCTGTCCCTCCTCCTGGCTTTCACTACCATGCCCCCCACCTCAAGGCAAAAACCTCCAAGGCCTTGGTTGACAGTCATCAGCTTCGTAAACAGAGACTGGCAGTGTCTTCCTGAGAGTGCTCAGGCCCTCCACTCCCGCCAGCGGTCCAGCACCCCCTCACCCCGCCCAGCCCCATGGGGTACTCACTAGGCCGCCGAGTCGTTGAGCTGGTACTCCCGAGAGCGGCCAAAGCAGGCCTGCACACCGTGGTCGGCCCAGAGCCTCCGGATGACGCCGGACAGATCCTCAGGGAGCACGCCCTGCTCCTCAGCGGTGCAGGACAGGGCAAACAGCTGCCGGGCATCATCCTGGGCACGGCGGGGGGGGGGGGGTCAGCCAGTCACAGGAGCACACCCCCACCCTACCTGGCCGAGGCAGGGAGGCTTCCAGAATGGCGCCTGGGCTTGGGTATTCCCAGGTTCCGCAGGACAAGGCTTGCCCTGAGGCCTTTAGGGAGGCAGGCGGGGGGTGGAGGGGAGGACATACCGCTCGGGAGGGGTCGGCAAAGTCAATCTGCAGATTGCCCATGGCTTTGACAATGGCCATGATGGATTGGATGGTGTTGCTGTAGACGACCGCCCGGTACTGCCGGCATTCCTCTTCTGAGTAGCCATCCTCGTGGATGATCCTGGCAGCCAGGGGTCAGGAGTTAGGGCCCAGAGGGCACAAGGACCACACACGGCCTCCTGGGGCTGCTAGGGCCTGCGGGACCTCCTACAGAGAGGAGGAAACCCCCCCCACCCCAACCCCCTGGGACCTGAGGATGGATGACTGCCTCTGGCAAGGTCCTGGGCGTGGCGGAGACAGGCTGGGCCATTACTCAGGGGGGGCAGCAGAGACCCAGAGGAAGAAGAGGGGAAACCAGCTGCTTCTCACACACTGCACTTACTTCATCTGCTTGACAATGGTGCTCTTCCCTGACTCCCCAGCACCTGGAACAGAGGGTACAGGCGGTCAGGGAGCAGCCCCAGCAGGGCCACACGGACAAGCAGCCAGTGGCCCAGCCGCGGGCAGCCCTGGAGGCAGAACTCACCCTGCCCATCAACTGCACCGGGAGACGGAGGCAGTGGGGGCCTGGTGGGCGGCAGGGCTACCCAGGGTGCAGCTGGCAGGGCCACAGTGCTCCAGGCAACCCAGACCGCCTGCACCCTTGGGGGACTCACCCCAAGCCTTAGCTTCCCATGAGCTTCCACTGCCCACCACGGCTGCTCCCAGCCCCCACTGCCGACTGCCAGCCCTCAGGAGTGTCCCTGTCATTCTCACGCGGGCAGCCTCGCCAACATGGCGCCTGGGCAGAGCTGACAGGAAGGAGCCCCGCACACTCCAGCAGGGTATAGTCCCTCTTCTCCTCACACTCTGAGCCACCTAACGGCTGGGCTGGCGCACAGTGTCATACTCCTGCCTCCCAGGCATGGCCCAAGTCTACCCTCAGCAGATGGAGACCAGCACTTGGGAGACATGCGGCATGGCCGACACAGACTCACACGCACACACCCCTGGACTGATGCATGATGCTTCCAAGTCTGGCAGAGGCCCATTCTGTATTCTCTTTGGCCGGTGCCAAGGGATTTGCTGGTACTCTTTCCCATGACAGTCATATGAGCCCCACAAACATACTGTTTCTGTTCCCATTTTACAGACAAGGACACTGAAGCTCAGAAAAGTAGTCCTGGCCCAAGATTGTGCAGCCAGGATTCAGACGGGCAGGGAGACACATAGGACTATGACGCCTGGCCTGCCCAGCCTTTCTCAAAATGTGGCTCAGATGCTGCAGGAAGCCCTGGGAGGGTGGTTTTTTATTTTGTTTTGTTTTGTTTTTAAGAAAGAAAAAAGCAGATTCCCAGGTCCCATCCTAGACACACAAAGCCAGATCTCAAGGGGTATAGCCCAGAAACCCACATTCCCCAGGGAGTCTGCAGGGAAGTGTGAAGACCAGGAGGGCCGCCCTATCTCCTTGGCTGGGGGATGGCGGGGGTGGGGGCAGGACCTCATCCACTCCTTTCACTGTCCTAAACTCCAAGTAGAACACATCTCAGTGGGGCCAGCTTTCGCTCCCAGCGCTTGCCCAGACTGTTCCCTCTGTTCCTTCCCCATCACTGCCAGTCACACCTGCACCTGACAGGCCCTGCCTCTTGCCAACACCAGGCATTTACCCATGGAGTTTTCTCTGCTGGGCACACGGGCCCCATGCCCCATTTCCATGTGTCCCAACCCTCTTGATCAATGTGGCAGGTCAGTCCCTCCGAGCAGCTCAGCGGGGCAGATGGTGGGGTCTGTGGGGAGGTTACACTTGGAGACTCTGGCTCCCACATCCCTCAGGGTAGGTCAAGACAAGCTCAGAGGATGAGGGGCTAACACGCACACTAAGGTGAGCAGCAAGAATAGTGTCAGCAAGAATCGTTACGGCAAAGCCACAAACAGCGCCCTCTATGGGTCAGATGCTATTCGAAGCCTACCGCGCCAACTAAGTAATTTCATCTCCCAGCAATCCCACCTAGCAAATGAGGAAACAGAGAGGCTGATGTCACCGTGGTCCTAATCCCCTCTGTGGGTGGCCCACCTTGCTGGCCTCCTAGAGCTGCCCTAAGAGCCCTTTACTGCAGCTGGGCCACACTGTCCTCAGGCCCCGACTGCACCTGTCACTGGGTTCACTCCCTGCCTTCCTAGGCAGATGTTTCTCTGAGTCTCTGCAGTGCCCTCCAGTCAGTAGGAGAGCACCCCCACCCTGTCCCCACCAAGGCCCCTGCCCACCTCCATTTACCCTACCTCCCACCCCAGATCCACATTTTACCCGGAGAAACTGAGGTACAGCTGTGGCCCTCACAGGGGCAGGCCTGGGTATGTCCACAACCCAGTGGCCTCCCTGAGAAGAAGGGTCTGGCTCGCCTCACAAATGCCACTGGACTGCTGGGGATCACTGGGCTTCTGACCGTCCCAGGCCTGCTTCCCAGGATAGGGGACTAGTTGGGGGGAGGGGGGACAAACGTGCAGTCTCTGGGCAAGTTGGGAGTGGTGCTGAAGCAGTGAGCCCCTCTATCAGTTCAGCCCCTGAGCACTAGAAGCACCCGTCCTGGTGCATTCCCCTGGACATGGGCTTGGTCAAATGGCAGTACTCCCACTTCTCCATTGGGCCGCGCATGGCAGAGGAACAGCCAGGGTCCCCCACACTGACATCCCATGCCTGCTGAGTGGACACCTGGGGAGAGGGCCTAGGAAGGCCCGAGAGTGATGCCCAATCATGGAGGCCCATCCTCCAGGGCCAGGGAGGGCAGCACCGGACGGGCAAACCACAGGTGCCAGGTGACCTCCTGAAGCAGAGGAAGGCTTGGGAATCAGGGGTCTCAGCCAGTACTGGGGGCCCAGTGCGGGAACAGAGGCCAAGGATGTGAAGTGATAGGTCAGATCAATCATGTGGGCCCCAGCCAAGCAAACCTAGACTCAGAGCGGGCAACAGTCCGGGGCACAGGAGAACCTGAGATTTTGGTGAGGTGTCCCCTCTTGTGTGTCCACCTGAGGCACCAGTTTCCCTGTCTGGCCTTTTGACCACTCTCTTGGTAAAGTGCTGTGGCATTCCGTGGCCCTGCCCAGAGACAGGGATAACAGCCCTCTGCTTTGCATCTCATTTTCCCAGTAGCAGCAGACCCGGCAGGCCCAGACGTGGGCAGTACCTGGGTGACCAGGCTGGTGCGAGCACACTTGCTCCCTGCCCCAGCCAACTGGGGGTCCACTTTCCTATCCCCTTTGAGCCTCAGGTTCCCTCCCTGTCCCATTTTGAGGGTTAGGAGGACATTCTCTGCCCCTGTCTGACAGGTGGACAAACGTAAATCAGGGAGCCCCCATCCCTGGACTCAGGACAGTCCCTTTGTCCTCCCGGCAGCTGTGACTCAAGCAGAAAGGAGTGAGTGGCGAGACGAAGGTGTGATGCCGGTGGCCAGGCAGGAAGCTGCGGGGGACACAGGACAGAAGCAGAGGCATGGCCCAGGAGCAGCCTCAACACGCGGACCAGGGAGCAGGGGCAGAGGCGGTGAGAGTGTGGAACAGGTAGGGCTAGGTGCCCCACAAGCTGTGGGTCCCAGCCCCCCTCCTCATCCCTCCCCTGGGGCCCTATCCCATCAGGGCCTGGCAGTGCTCCCCTATCAGATAAGCTAGTACTGGGCTCGGAGTTTGCTTGTACCCTGCTGATCCTGGGTACCCGGCTCCTCCCACCCAGCCCTGCACCTTCCCCTCAGAGGAGGGGGCTTCACTGGCTGGCCCTGGACTGCTGCCAAGATGCTTCCGATAGAAGGTGGCAGGAGTCTCCCGCCCACAGAGGACCCCACCAGGCGCTCCCTTCTCCAGCTGGGTGAGATCAGAGGGGCCCACAGAGGCTCCCTAGGACGACTTCGGTGTTCCCATTGGGCCATACCTCTTCCCACCAAGAAGAAACCTCGGCAGCCCTTGCCCCAGGGCGCAGCTGCTGGACCCCCAGCAGACAGGCAGTAATTGCCATGATGTGCTGGCGACTGGTCTGCTCTGCATTAGAACATCTGCTTCCACTCTGGGAGTGCCGGGCCCCAACAGAGGAGGGAACGGAGGGGGAAGGGAGCCGGCACAGCTCCACCTGCCCGAACAAGGAGCAAGGCTGGGGGCCACTGCAGCAGAGACAGGACCGCGGGGCCTGTTGCCTGATGCCGACTTCCAGCCCCAACATCAGGTCACTGCTGTCTGTCAGTCTTGGACCCCCTACGTCCCAGACAAGGTTTTGCCCTGCTGGGAGGCCCTGACACGCTGCTGTTGTCCTCTCTGGCCTTAGTTTCCCTTCTGCAGGGGCTGCCAAGCCTCGAGTGGCCAGCTGGCCTATCTCGCACTCTCAGATCCTCTCCCAGAGGGAGGTCCAGACCTCCCACAGCCCCGGTGCCCACCCCGATCCTTCCTGCTGTCTCCAAGGGCCTCATCCCCTTTCCTGCCCTTGCTCTGGCACCCCATCCGTGAAACAGGACACGGACAGGACAATTCGACACAAAGCGCTTCTCACAGTGCCCAGCACACGGCGAACACTCATTAGTTATCGCTATGTTTCTACTCTGTGGAAGATCACAGATGTCCCCAAACCTTTCATTTCCTGCAGCCTACGAGGACCATACTGCATAGGTCACTGTAACCACAGCCTGTAGAGTGGCCTGCTGAGGCCATCTCATCGGAAGGAGAGTTTCTGAGGCTTTCAGCAGAGGCACAGTGGAGGGCAGTGACCAGCGGCCCACAGGCTGGCTCAGCATTGCTGCTCCTGGAGGGGACTTGTGGACCCTGGGACAGCAGTCAGAGCCACTCGGGCCTCTGCGGGCTTCTGGTTCTCAGTTTGTCACTCCCCTTCCACATAGGCCAGGACTCGACCGTAGCTGGAGCCTCCCTCAGCCCCCCAGCCTTGCGGCAGACACTGCTCCCTGACTCCATGTGCTCAGAAGGCTGGGCAGAGGCTCCTGCGCTGGTGGGCTCCCCTCTAACACATGGGGCTAGGGAGAGCAGCCAGCTGACGTGGCGGCCCGAGGGCAGAGATTCTCATGCGCAGCGGGGCTGGGACCACAGGGTAGACTTGGGCTGCAGCCCAGCTCCAACCCACAGTACCAGGCCCGCCCCCACGGCCACCCCCCAGTCGGCCCGAGTGGGGCACAGGGAGAAGGTGGAGGTGACCCTTGGGAAGCCTACCCCAAAGGCAGCCCGGGCACCACCTCCCACTCTCATCCCAGGAAGGTGCCACGTCTCTGGCCCAGCCAGTGGTTCCGGGCCCCTTGGCTCCGGCCCCTCCCCTGCAGCCTCAGGCCCCCAGGCCGCGCCACCGCCAGGGGGAGCCCAGCAGCCAGAGACGGTGGAGGAGGTGGGGGCTGGGCAGTGCCGGGGAGCCTTTGCTTCTGAAAAGCAGCCTAGGCTAGGGGCAGCTGGGGGAGGTGCCTGGACC